CGCCCTCGCCACCGCAACCACCCCCCTCCCTTGACCTTCCCCAAACTCGGTGCGCGCTGCGCCTCCGCTCGCACTCACGCCATCGGTGATTGGTGCCCACTTCAGGCAAAGCGGCCGCACCGAGAGGGGCTCCCCCCAACAAGACAGGCCGCGGGCACCCGGCGCCTCGGAAACGGGGGGCTGGGCGTCCCTGCTGGTGCTCACCGCCTCGGTGCTTATCTCGCCACCACTACCGAAGCAACACCCCCTCTCTTCGTCGGGACCCCCTGCCGTGCTGTCGCCTATCGCCCGTTGCTCTCTGCCGAGTGCCATAGGCAGCACCACGATACCAATCGTAAACAGACTGCTGGTGGCTGCGGGGATCACCGCATGTGCACCAGCAGGCCTCACGCCATCGCCTCGAAATTGAAAGCGGAATGTACTCAGTGGTGGCAGTAATCCAAAAAGAAGTACTTCTTCACTCGAAGGAAATCAGGCGACGGTAACGATCCACCGAATCCGCGCCGTCGTTTAGCTCGATGTCGTCGGGCCGTCTATATTAAGCTACGGGCACAATGCACCCAGCCCTGCTTGTGTGCACTCCTTGCGTCCGGCAAATAATTTGTTTACGTTAATTGTTTGGCAGGCTGGCGCCGGGGCGGAGCCCTATAAAAATCGCGCCAACTCCCTCCGCAGGGCTTCTCTTTTTCTCGTTGTCTCATAAAAGCACAAGATGAAGTTCGCCCCCGTTGCCGTTTTGTTCGCCGCTGCTGCCCTCGCCGCCGACTCGTCGGACGCTCAAGACTCGAAGGCGGCGCTGGCTCTGGGCTCTGGCTCCGAAGCCGCTAAGCCGCTGGGCTCTGGCTCCGAAGCCGCTAAGCCGCTGGGCTCGGAAGCGAAGGACTCGCAATCGGCCAAGGAAACCGGGTCGGCCAAGGAACTGGGTTCGGACGCTAAGGGCTCCGGGTCCGGTTCGGGCTCCGCCGCCGCCGACAAGACGTCGGAAGTCGTCACCGTCGAAGGCACCACCGTCACCGTCGACCCCGAAGCCACCGTGTCGCGTGATGTCATCAACCAGTTCTCCGACCTCTACGCCGGTCCCTACTCGTCGGACATCCAGCTGTACGCCCTGGCCCTCGCCGTCATCGGCTACCCCGCCACCAAGATCTCGTCGATGTTGTCGGTGTACCGTTACGGCAAGTCGCAAATGCAAGATCAAACCTCGTACGACACTTACTTGTCGCAATGGGTGGTGGTGCAAAAGTCCGACGTCTCGGTGAGAGGCACCAAGCTGTACTCGTTCTCCCCCGAGACCACCGAGGTGCTCGAATTCGACAACGAATCCGAAGCCTCGGAATACTTGAGAACCCACACCGAAGGCGGCGACGACAACTCGAAGCTGGACGACTCCAAGCTGGGCGACAAGAAGCTGGACTCGAAGTCTGACGACAAGAAGTCTGACGACAAGAAGCTGGACTCGAAGTCGAACACCAAGGACGACTCGAAGTCGGCCTCTGACGACAAGCTGTCGTCGCAAGGCGGCTCCGCCGATGCCAAGTCGGAATCGGGCAAGAACGACGGTGTGTCGTTCGTCGCCCCCGTCGGTGCTATGTTGGGTGCTCTCGCCGTTGCGTTGATGTGAGTTTTTTTGCCTGATCCCTGGAGGACACTATCTAAAGTATAACCTAATAATGAATAATGAGCATTTGGCTCCCGTTGTAGACGCTCGTCGTGTAGGCCATTTTCGTCGCCATCGTTTGTTGTCGGCAATGTGGTCGCCTGCCTCATCGCCTGCCTCGTCAAACAATTCAGACACATGTCGCTTTGTAACTTACGTCATCTCCCAACCCTTTTCGTAAAAAAAAAAGTCGGTGACAGCACGTTTTTCCAAATCTGGAACGTATTTTTTCTCCTCGACGTCCACAAAACTCCAGTAGAGCTCGTATATGGTAGTGTTTTTTTTTATCACTCACCACTTGCTGACAGCATTATCCTTTGTTCGGTACCATGTGGCTCCGTGTTTTGTTGTGGGTATTTACAAAGTGCCCGATAACGGGTTGCGGTTGAAAAATGGCGTCGATCTCCATTTTTCATGAGGTTATCCTGATTAGGGTTATAGACAAACACTAAACGAGGTCGGTACCTGGTTGATGCAGGCCATTGTTTGCATTCAGAGTTGTCAATATTCAGACCCTCTTGAGGTTAAACCTAGTGCCCCAAGCTTGTGTATCTTCTTGATTAATCGTAAAGCAATCAGAGCTTTTCGATAATGGTAGCATCGTCAGCATCACATACCGCGACTGGAGATCTGTTATAAACGAGTGGACTCCAAAGTTTAGTATTAAACTGTATCTAGAATAAGGTTTTGTTGTGGGTATTTAAACATACCTTATTTCCAGTGCAACGACCTTCGAATTGATGTCTTTAAAAAACAATGCTACAACCGCCTCTAGAACAAAACTACACTAAGCACAGAGATTTGACCAAAAAATTTTTCATCAGTGCATATACTTTGAACATATGCGTAGAATTGAACAGTATGCGTAAGAGCTTGTTTCGTTCACCAGTTTTGTAATAAACCCCCATTGGTCGAGGTAAGCTCATTGAATGGAACAGCTGTTAAGTTCATGGCTATGAGTCACAACAGTTATCTGTTGGTTTACCACTGACGATGGGACCAGTCAGGCTTCGGTAGCAGTACTACCGACTCCGGCTCTTCGACCAATTTACAAACAAGCTCATTGTTCTCGGTGACTTCTTTGGAAGAGACCCATTCTCCATCACGCCGCTCAACTTTGAATGCATGGTCATCTAGCACGAACGTCTCCAACCATTTGAAGTGCTTGGATTGGAGAATAGCGACCACTTCGGCGTACCTTTCTTTATCATCATCCTCTTCAGGCATACGCCATATACGAGGAAAAGTCAATACGTCCCCTCGCATAGCAAACTCACAGTAAATGAGCCGTCTGAAGTTGGCGGCCATCTCAATCATACCTTGGTAATTTACCCGTTCGAGATTTGTCAACACCAATCTCCGAACAATGTGAGAAAAAGCAAGTAGATCACTGTAATCAGAGCTGAACCGTACTTGCAAATCCGTCAACAGTGTGAAATTCTGAGCTTGCCTATGTATGCTGGGGTGCTTAGTGTGGAATATCAACTGCCTCACTGAACTGACGTCAACGATGAGGCTGACATCGTGTCGGAACCCCTGAATTTGTAAGCAATCCACCTTTAGTTTAGGCTTGTAGTGCCTAATATTGTCATCGATGGTGGTCAAAACTAATTGATGAAGGTGTACATCCAGGACGGAGCGAATGCAAAGGGGAATGGTCATGGCTTCGAAACGCTTCTTCGTGTACTCGTACTTCTGGTACATTTTGTAGTACTTCAAGTATATCTCCACCATGATTTGACCGCCAAACCAATCGAGGTCACATGCTTTGAGTTGATCGAATTCGTCTGGAGATAGGAGTAACCATGAGTTCAGGTAATGATTTTGCCAGTTGAACACGTACTTTGTTTTCGGGGAACATACAAATACCCGCTCGAGAAGCCAACGCTTCAACGACGGAGGCATATTCAGATTCTGCATTCTGAGAAATACGTTCAGCTCTGGTACAGGCGGGAACCAAAAGTCAAGGACAAAATTTTTGGGGAGCAACTCATATATGTAGAGAATGAGTTCGTTGGGTAAGTCTCTGATGAAAGCGAGGTCTTGTTCATTGTCAGAGTCACGGGACGGGGTAATGTTCTTTGAAACCATCTCGGTCTAAACCTCTGAATTGAACCAAATTGCTTGAGAAGGGACGCTTTAGATTGCCCAGCTACTTGATGGATGGTACAATATCAAGCGGTAGACTCTTTGCTTTGAGGCAAAAAGTGTTTCAATGAACCGATAGTCTGAGGCCAGTCTTGACCCACACAGTTCCAGCTGCAAGGTTCGACGGAAGTCACAAGCTTGAATCAGGGATATCCTGGGGTGTCAATTCTGTCAATCAGGATATAAGATCGGTCAGTTTCGACCACTTTAAGGAAGCTTTGACCTGATAAAACTTAGTGGGGATAGGCATTCACGGGGGTCAGGTTTACACTATAGTATGCGCATTGAATCATGTGCCAGGGCGTCTAACGCATTCCACCCCACCACGATCGTTAACGTTGAAGATGTAAGGTTTACTCGTGAAACAACCGCGTGAAGCGTATGTTTACAGTTTCCGTATACGACGGGAATTTATTTCATATAAATCGTGACAATACTCGCCCGTGATAGATGAGCGACAACAGATTTAGGCGAGGGAGCCCATGGGGTCGTAGATGGGGTACACTTGGTACTCCTTGCCCTGCCACACCTTGTATAAGTCGTCGCCGGCGTATTGGCGCTGGGTGACGATCTGGTACACGTACTCGTCGAACCAGGCGTCCGTCATGGTGAAGTTGCCGTTGTCGCCGCGCTCGTGGCCCCACGAGTTCTGGATCTTCCACCGCACCGGCTTGTCGTCGACCAAGTGGACCCCCGTGATCACCATGGCGTGGGTCATGAGCGACAGCCCCGTGCGCAACCGCTGCTCCTTCAGCATGTTCAACCCGGTGTTGAACACGTCGGTGTAGTTGTAGCCGCGGGTGTCCAAGATCCCCAACTTGCGGTCGGAGAACTTGCCGACGTCGCACCCAAAGAAGATGGGCTCGTTGTTCTTGATCATGGCAATCGCCACCCGCTTGATCTCGTCGATCTCGACATTGACGTACTCGACGGGCTTGCCGTCGACGACGTTGTTGAGCTTGTCCACCGTGAACAACTGGTTGTACAGGTTCCGCGGGTCGTTGATCAACGAGAAGTACTGGTTGACGTCGAAGTCGAGGTGGTTGTCGGCAAACGACTTGGGCGTCTCGACGTGACGGTGGTACTTCTTGTCCTTGTCGATGAATTCCCAGGCAAACTCCTCCAGCGGGAGAGGCGGCTTGCCCAACGTGAGGGTCAAGATGGTGTGGATCTCGGCGATCATCTCCTTGCGGGCCTTGTCGACGCCACCGTTCGTTTGCACCAACTCTCTCAACTTGAGCCCGTACTCCCTAAGCTTCTCGCTGATGAGGTAGTTGAGCGGGGCCAGCGCCGTCAGCTGGGCGTTGTCAGGGTAGTGCTCAACGGGGACGGCACCGTACTTGTTGACGAGGTTCACCACCATGTCCCACTGGCCCCCGTCGTTGATCGGGGTCTGGAAGATGTACTTGACGTACAAGTCCTCGACGTCCTGGTCGGCGGTGGCGATGACGTTCTCCAAGAACATGTTCGCCTTCTCAAGCTTGTCGTAGAAGTAGAAGTACAGCTGGGACAACTGGAACTTGTCGTCGGCAATGTTGTACTTGTTCATCACCCGCGTCCGCAACACGTTGCAGGCGCTGAAGATCCAGCACCGCCCGCTCAGCTTCTGGTTGTTGGCAAACTTGTTCAGCCCGACAACTTCGACCTCGTGGTTAAACAAGTACTGGTCGCGCTTGTCGTTGACGTACTCGGTGTTGACGACGTCGAAGAAGGCGTTCTTGTTGAACAGGTGTTGCACGACACGGTTCTTAGCATCGCTGGCCACCAGCTCCGTCCACTGGGCGAGCGTCGCTTCCAGCACCGGGTTCAGCGCCGCGAGCTTCAATTGGTCGACTTGGTTGGTGATATCGGGAGACATGTTTCGGTACCGTGTATTTTCCGTCATTGGCTTTCGGGGGTCGCCTATTTATATAGCGTGGCAGGTACACCCCCGCATCGCCCCTTGGTGCCTTTACAGAGCGCGGCACCGAGAGCCGCACTCCGAGAGGGCTGCTTCGGAAGCCGGAGTCGTGGGTTGCTGCTGCTAGGGCACGAGTCAGCATTGGGAGGAGTCACTCATTATTTTTCTTTCTTTTTGCCTAGTATGATCCTCAGCGTAGCCCTAATTGTAACCTCCCATAGTTGTCATGCCGCAAACGGTGGGTGCCTTATCGTGCTTAGCGGTACCGGCGATTACGCGCACGACCCGCTATTGACAGCTTACCTCAGACTTCGTGCGAGGCTTAGATCAAAACACGGGAAAGGCATTCTACCACACTAAAAAAGCCAGGCAAATGCCTACACAGAGATCTAGGAGAAATGGTGATGAACATCTGAGGCTACAGTGAGCCGGACGGAGTCGCCAGACCGTTCGAGCCCGAGTCAGAAGCCGTATAACTACAAGGGTGTGGCTGATCGGTGGTTATGCGCCGCCTATCTAAGACAGGCCCCCGGTTAATCCCTAATTCCAGTAAATGTGTGTATTGTGATCGATTTCCTGCCTACTGCTTTTGCTTTTTCGCCAGCTTGTCGTCGCCGTCTTCTCTACGCCGCTTCTTGTTGTCGCGGGCATCTTTATCCGCTTGTGTCCACCGGGGCTTCTTTTCGCGTTTGGCTGGTTTATCCAGAGTGGCGGCCAGCTCCTTCTTGTCGCGCTTTTCGGACTTATCACGCTTTTCGGACTTATCACGCTTGGTGGACTTGTCGCGTTTAGCTGACTTGTCACCAGCGTCGGTTTTCTCCTTCTTGTCCTTCTTTTCCTTCTTGTCTTTCTTGTCCTTCTTATCCTTCTTATCCTTCTTATCCTTCTTGTCCTTCTTTTCGGTGGTGTCTTCCTTCAGAGGCAACGTCAGCTTGATCTTCTTGGCCTGGACCTTCTCACCGCCTTGAGCCACCTTCATCTCGCCCAACGCCTCCGCCTTGGCCTCCTTATACTTGGTCAGCCGGTCACGGATACGAGCCTTCTTCACCCGGCCCTTGAGCCCCTTGATCCCCTGGACTTTATCACCTTTCAGCGCCCGTTCCCCTTCGATGATCGTCGTCCCCGCGGTGCTCCGGTCACTCTTACCGAGAATGCGTTGCGCCCGACCAAGCTTAGTCTTCTGCTTCTCCGTAAGTTGAAGCTTACGTTGGTTCTTCTTGATGTTTTCCACGTGGTTAGGCGACCACAACAGCGGCTGGGCCCGCGTCAGCGTCCGCACAATCCGCAACTTGCGCCCTTTCTTCCCCAGAGCGTACTCCAAGGGCTTGTCATGAGCCGCCAACGCCTTGTTCACCAGCACCGAGTCCTTGAATTGGACATAGGCAAAACCCTTACCGACATTGGTTGCAGCATCGCGCACAATCCGCACCAGCTCGACGTCGTCGTCGGTGATCATGTTGAAGTACCACCATAACAGCTCTTCCTGTTCGACGTAGTCCAAGTTACCCACAAACACCAGGCGCTTGTTCACCTTGGGCAGCGGGTGAGCCACGTGGTCCACCCGCAAGTGGCACCCTTCAAAGAAGGTACCGTTGAGGCCCACCGCCAGCCGCAGCGCCCCTTTATCGGAGAACACGACGTAGGCGTTGACCAGGTCCCGTTCCTGATGGAGAGCCTTGGCGGCAAACGCAAGCTTTCTCGGGATGGGCTGGTCAAACAGAATAGACCGGAACCGCACCGACTCCACCTTGCCGAACGAGCTGAAGAGACGCTTAAACTGACGCTCAAGCAGCTTGGTGGTGACAATGCTGACGGGGACGTTACCGACGAAAACCGTGCGCTCAGCCTTATCGAGTTCGGCTTCCTTCAAGTCCACTTGCTTTGCCTCGGTCGCGGGCTTAGCAGACTCCTCAGTCTTTTCTTGGTCTTCTTGGTCTTCCTTGTCTCCGCTTTCTTCAGTTTCTTCTTCTTCCTCATCATCCTTTTCTTCGTCCTTTTCTTCAGCCTTTTTCTCGGCTTCAGCTTCAGCTTCTTCTTCGGCCTTGGTGGTCTTCAATGCGCGTTCAAAGTATTCTCTTTCGAGGTTCTCGTACTCGTCCTTGGTCTTCGTGGACTTCTTCAGCTTCACCGGCTTCGCTTCCTCTTCCTCTTCTTCAGACTCTTCGTCGTCTTCGTCGTCATCGTCGTCATCGTCTTCTTCCTCGTCGTCTTCATCTTCTTCCTCGTCATCATCACCCTCTTCGGCTTCACGAGTGGGAATCTTGACTTCGGAGCGAGTCTGGCGGAGCTGACTTCGGCTCACGGGCCCATCAGCACTGTTGGAAAAAAGCTTGTCCACCAGAGAGTCAGTGGCACCACCGAAAAGGTTGGCGAATGTCGACATTTGACGATGGTTATGTGGTAGACTGATATATACACCCAGACTCGCACCGGTTCCCCAGCTGCGATGAGGTCGCGGCGCGCAGCTCCCCCTCCCTCACCGATCGCCGGGACCCAACTGCCGACACTCGCGATAACGGCAGCCATCGGCACCATACAAAGTAAACAAGTCCCCTCCTGCACACAACCGCACGACGCCCCGAACAATTATTCACTCCCAAATTTCCTCGACACCCACACCTCTTCCCCCGTCGCCCCCCGCTCAGCTTGCCCCTCAACCCTTTTGGCTCATACGCCCGTGTACCAGCTTACCTGCCCACACCGTCCGTGTGTCCCCGTACGCGTCCACACCCTAGGGTTGCCTCCCGATGAGCGCGACCGACGTCAATTCCAAGCTTCGAACCAGCCTGGTTTCCGAGGACAACGCCAACCTCACGGCGAAGGAGCTGCCGTTGACCGACATCGCGGTGCTGCCGCCGCCGTTTGAGCCTGGCCACACCCCGCTCTTGCCCTCGGACGTCCTGCTGGAGCTTCTGGAGATCGCCGCCGACTCCGAGGCGGAAACCGACAAAATGGACTTTTTCGCCAACACGTCCACCTCCACCGAACCGGGCAGGACCGAGACCGACCTTCAGGTGCTTTCCAAGATCAGCGTCCTCCCAACCATGGACGAACACAACCTGGACGTCGAGGAGTTCATGGCCGCCCCGACCAAGCGCCACCTCGACGCCCCTGACGACGATGACAGCCCGCCTCCGGCTAAACGACCGCGCTCGCCTCTGCCTCAGGCCAATGGCCGGGCACCAGCACCGCCTCTGCCGCCTAAGCGCGAAGATGACGAAGGCGACGATGAAGAAGAGGAAGAGGAGGAAGACGATGGCAACGTCGCCGATGCCGGCGAAGACGGTGACGAGGGCGGTGACCCATCGCCATTGGCTCTGGTGTCGCCCGATATCACCCACCAAGAGGCCGATGACGAAGACAACGAAGACGGCGATAACGAAGACAATGACGTTGCCGACGATGACGACGATACCAGCGTCGACCTCAATCACCAGCGGAAGCTCGCCATTGTCGACTTGATTGCCATTGAGGAACAGTTTGCCGAGCTTCGGGATAAGCTCTACCGCGACAAGTTGCTGTTACTAGAGCGAGAGCTCCAGCTCTGCCTCGAAGGGCTGCACCCGGAGCTTCTGAAAATCTACTTCAAGATCAACCGGTTCTACCAGGACAACGTCAAGCTTGCCAACCAGAATCTACTGTACCGGTTACGGTGTATCGACCGCGAGACGGTGGCGACGCGAACGCTGATCCACCAGAACTTCTTGCGCCAAGTGATGGAGGCGAAAAACACTCGCGTCACCGAGACCACCCTGTTGTGGTATAAGATCAACAAGGAGCGCAATCTGTTGGACCAATTGGTGGAAAACTTCAACTACACCGCGCTCCCCCTGCCATCCCCGGCCGGACCCGGGGTCGACGACGCTGACGTGCCGCCAGCCACCAAACGGGGGTTGAAGCAGGCGCAGGTAGCGCGCCTCGTCCACCAGCGCAACGTGCTTAACCACCAGCTCGGCGTGCTCAACGGCTTGGTCGAGTTCTCCGGGTTCCCCGTCGCGGTGCTGGACACAGCGGGAGACCGCGTCCCCCCTGAGCTCTTGTTGCGCCAGGCGTCGCCCGATGAAATCAATGACGATTTACGAGACATGGGGATCATATAACCTTGTACTACTATACCTCGGCGGTCCGCCTCCGTTGACGGAACTACATGACCCAACCGACTTTCTGCCATCGTCCTCGTCGACACTTAATCGGCGTCTATGTTACACAGTTTTACATACGCTTATCTTTTATTATACCGGATATTGATAACCCTGAATGTAGGATATTCAAAATGCAAATTCGTAACACCCAACTAGAGTGTCATAGAGTCGTGCTAGACTCGAATTTTGGAGCTACTAAATAAGCCTAAGCAACGGTTACAAGTTTTTGGTGATGCAATCCGCAATAGTTACGCTAATTCTTGGTTCACAAGCGAATCCTTTTTTTTTTTTTGAAAATCGAGCTATCAATATTTAATTCGTCGCAGCTTTAGGTTACGAAAGCCTAATAATTCTTTAATCTTTAGATTCCTGTACGATTGTGTCGTGCCCCGTAAAGAACAAGAGATGAAATACAATCATTGGTGAAGCTTATTTGGAGCAAGCACCATGACGATAGTGAGTGGTACACCTCGAATCATATTTCAGCTATATTGCCTCAAAAACATTCAAATCACTACCATCAGTATATCATCACTACCAGGAGACCAAAAATCTAAACATTATTATTTTTCATCCGAATGACATATAAAACCTCTTGTTTTTCGGTTGCCACTAGTCGCTGGCGATGATCGCCGGGCACCGCCTACCAGAGCGCGCTCCTGCATAATTCCTGGGAAACACGACACACAACCATGGTGGAAGTATCGCTTACCGTGGGTAAACTCGACGCCTCGTTGGCGTTGTTGCTCACCAAGGATCACCATCTCATCGAGTTCCCCACCATCCTTTTACCCAACGGGGTGAAGGCGGGGCTGATCGTCAAGATCAAGTGTGACCAGGACTTGGCGACGGAGACCGAAGAACACAAGCAGTTCCTCGACCTCCAGGACGAGATTCTCGACACTTTCGGCACCGCGCTTCCTCAGCCGCCCGTTCTCAGAGTCAAGAACGTCACCCAGACCCTCATCGTCTTGGAATGGGACCCGCTCGACTTGGGTACCGCCACGTTGAAAAACTTGATTCTCTTCAAGGACGGCAAGAAATTAGGGGCGATTCCTCAGCCGTTGACCAACAAGACCACTAAGCTTTCTGGTCTTCAGTTTGATAAGGAGTTCACTTTCCAGTTACGCCTCGATACCACCGCCGGCACCTACACTTCCGACGTCATCACCGTTCATACCCACAAGATGACTGATCTCAGTGGTATCACCGTGTGCCTCGGCGACTTTGCTGCTAACGAGCCGTTCACCCGCGAAGACATCGTCGCTACTCTTTCCAACATGGGTGCCCACCCCCCTCAAGATCTGATTAAGGTTGACACCACTCATTACATCTGTACGCGAGAGAACAAGGAAAACGAGGAGTACATCAAGGCTCAGGAAATGAACATCCCCATTGTTCGTCCGGAATGGCTCAAGGCCTGTGAACGTGAACGTCGTATCGTTGGTGTGAGGCAATTCTACGTTAATGACTGCTCCTTGCCGGAAATCTTCTCCAAGAACTACTGGGGTGAGGACTCTGCCGCCGCTCGTCTGAAACCAGTGACTGAACCTTCCACAGTGCCCCTGATTAACGTGGAGCTGCCGCTGCCAGCTGGTGTCCTGAAGGAGACCACCACCGAGCCCGAGCTGTCGGTACCGCCTGAACTGACTGGAGAAGAAACCCAAGAGGAACTGAAGACCGATCTCAGTGAGAAACCCAAGAAGGAGCTCGAAGAAGAACTGGAAAAACCCGGTGAAGAATCCACGGCTGAAGCCACGAAGGAAGCCAAGGAAGAACCTACGGAGGAACTTAAAGACGAACTTAAGGAGGAACCTAAGGAAGAACCTAAAGAAGAAGCCAAGGAAGAAGTGAAGGAGGACCTCAAGGAAGAAGTGAAGGTTGAGCCTGAAGTCACTAGTGAAGCTGATAAACCACTTGAATTGAGTGAAGAGCTGAAAGGCCTCAAAGAAGAGTTGAAAGAAGGCCTTGAAGAGGTCAAGGACACCATAAAGGAAGATCTCACTAATCTCAAACAAGAAGTTGAGCAAACGTTCAATGGCGAAAAGGCTTCTAAGGATGAATCAAAAATTGAACCTGAGCTGACCACCGAAAAATTGGAACAACCGGAAGCTGTACTGACAGCGCCTGAGGTTGAATCAACTTTGGAAAACTCTGCTAGTGCTCCTAAAGACCTCACTGAGTCAACGGTCGTGAACGGTAACGATGCCGCGGCTGTTCTGACCTCGCCTAAGCAAAAGCCTCTCCTTGATATTATTGGCGACGCCCCTGCGGTGCCCTCGTCGCCTTCGCTCGTTGATATTGACTTAGCGTCGACGGTGTCGGTGCCTGAAGCTGACGCCGCTGTCACTGCTGAACTTGCTGCTGCTGAAAGTGTCCCTCCGCGGGTGGACCCTGTGCCTGCTGCCGAGGCCGAAACCGACGAGAGTGCCGGTGACAGTCCCGAAGCCGGAGACATTGGTGCTGCTGACGAAAGTTCTGATATTGGAGCTACTGCCGCCACCCTGGGAGGGAAGAAGAAGAAGAACAAGAAGAAGGGGAAGAAGTAGTGGTAATGATTATGTATGGACTAAAAACACACAGTGTACATATAAGCTTATTCGCCAAACAAACGGCGAACTTTTTTGAGGATCGAGTCCTTTTCCGGGTCGTAAGGGTGGTCCTTCGACGGGATCTCGAGGATTGCAGGGAACGCGTTGGAGAATGAGTCCACTTTGTAGCGGATCTGGTCAGCCAAGTGCTGGTTGATCAAGAGAATGGCAATGTCGTCGCGCTCGGTGGTGAAGGTGTCAAAGGCGTCTTCAATCTGGTCAATGGTCGTCTTCCCCGGGATCACCGTGAGGAAATTCAGCTCGCCATTCTTGACTTCCCCCGTGCCAGCAAGCAAAAGCCCCGTCACCGTGTCTTCCTCAGCAATCGTGGCGATGAGCCGACGCTTGCTCATGGCCTCAGAACTCATGGTCGAACGTGGGTGGTGTGTTGGTGCGAGCGAGTGCGGCTAGATAAGGTCAAGTACTATGTGCAACGGCAAGCGATGAAAATATCGGTATTGTGACCAAGAATGGAGAAAGATGTAATTTGTTATGTTTTCAAATCACAATTACGCAATTGGAGCTAATTGTTGTGGAAGCAGCACGGGGACTCGATTTGGTGTACTCTATCGAAGCAATACCAGAATATTAGATTAGGGTCACATATTTAACATAACTACACTTTTGGTGGTAAGGCAATGCCAGCATTACATTTTCACCAAGTTCCTGATTGTCTCTAATCGTTCGGTAATGGCTGCGAGTTGGCGATGCTTCGCAAGTGCCGTCTCTACCCGGTCCACAACGGCATCCACTCGTTCATCCGAAGGTATATCCGGTACATCAGTAACATTCTCATCATCTTTTTCAGTAACGTACGTCGACACCACTTCCTTAGTACCAGGAGCGATTTTGTATTGCTCGCGGAGCTTTTGTGTTTGCTCGATGATTCGTTCCGTCAGCTTTGGGATATTAGCTTGTAGCTCTCGAAGAGCCAGCTCGTGGTTGGTGAACGTAATCTTTTCCTGAGTAAACACGGCATCAAGCTTGAGTAAAGAAGGAAGCACTTCACTGATGTATCGTTCAAGCCGGTCCCGTTGGTATAATTGGTCGTCGAAATTGAGCACGTCAAATTTGATCCGTTGATTCAACGATGGCATCGGAGTTTTGGCCACTCGTGACGTAAACAGCCGGGGGTCACTCCCCATCCATGTTGACAGGATCAAGTCGATGATGGCGGCGGTCTCGGTTTGGTTCTTGTTGCGAACAGTGTCGTTGAGAGCGATGTGCATGAGTTTAGTTAGCAGTTCAAGCGATGCCGCTGAGAGCACCGCCCGTTTCTTCGGCAATCGCTTAGCACGCTTGGTCACTTTCCACTCGGTAGCTGCCATGTATTGGAGACGCGACCGCGCCGCACTCGAAATGAATAGTGTAGAAGAACAATATAGGACCACAACAACCTCGAACTTAGAAAATTCCTTACTGGCTATCTTATTTTATTTTTTTTTTTTTTTTTTCAATTCTATATTGTCATCTATGTAATGTATCACTGGTCATCTTGTCATCATTATCTTGTCTTAATCTTAGGTTACTCTACATCAATCTATAATCACGCCTTGCCGTTTTCTGCGTTTTCTGCTTCTTCGGAACGCTTGATCAACTCGATGATCTGGTTGATCTGCATGTACTTGCCCCACCGGTACTGGGGAGGAATTTCAATCTTCACACCAAGCTTGTCAGCCCATTCGATCACCAAGCCGGGGTTATACAAAAAGTGCTTACCCACCAAGGCAAAGTCAAACCAGCCTTGTTCGAGATAACCATTGACTTGCTCGGCATCGTACAAATCACCCACACACGCCACGAGCAACTTATCGCCGAGAGCCTTCTTCACTGCACGAGCCCAGGGCACGTGGACAGGTAAGTTCTCCTCGTTCTTGTGGTCAGACCGACGGAACTGGACCGAGTTGTTGCCACCCAGCGAGGTGTCGAGCACGTCGACTTTGCCAACAATGCGCTTAGCCAATTCCACGGAATCATCAATCGTCCACGCCCCTGGTGCCGGCGAGTTTTCCAGCGCCGAGATTCTGAGCCACACCGGAACCTTATCAACTTTGTCACCAAGCCCTTCTCTGACAGCGTCAATCACTTCAAGGAGGAAACGAATACGGTTGTCAAACGAACCACCATATTCGTCGGTACGATGGTTAGAAGTAGACGACAAGAATTCGTTGATGAGGTAACCGTGAGCACCGTGGATTTCAACAAAGTCAAAGCCAACGTTGACCGCCCGCTTGGCAGCATCACGGAAGTCCTTAATAATCCGGTGAATACCCTCTTTAGTAAGAGCATTGGGCGTGGGGTAGTTACCGTGTTTGCGGAACGGTTCAGCCAGAGGAGCAACGATCTTCAGCGGCCAGCCACCAACCAGTTCGTCGGCCATTTGCTCCAAGTGAATATAGGGAGGTTGGCCCGAAGCTTTACGACCACCGTGAGCAAGTTGGATCCCGATGATCTGCTTCTGAGCGTGAGCAAAATCCACCACGGGTCTGAATGATTCGGCCTGCTCGTCATTGTAGATAGCAAGATCCTGAGGCGACAATCCACCTTCAGGCGACACCAGGGTCGCCTCCACAATAGGGTACGCGCCCCGAAGGGAGAAAGCACTGTAGTGAATCAAATGGTAAGGGGTCATCTTGCCATCGACACCAGAGTACATACACATGGGCGACACCCCGAGACGATTGGCATAGCGTACCCCCTTGATTTCAATCGGTTGAAACGCCTTGGGGAGCGGCTTACCATCCTCAGGAGCATCCGCCGTCCCCGTTTGCTTATCGGGAGCAGGCAAAAAGAAGTTGACTTCAGGAGCAGTCTTAACAGGAGTGTTAGCAGACATGGTCAGGAATACACCATTGTGGTCGAAGTTGGTCGATTATATACCTGGCCGAAGCTGGAGTTGCGTCTATTGCTGCCGTGCTTACAAATCGCACCATCTGCCACGACGGCGTTGACCCACATCACATAATTAGAAATCAGATAAGGGTGGTGTATGGGGTTGATGAGATAACTATGGCTCGTCACTTACGCTGGTAGTCTTTGGGATTTCCATAGCTAAAACTAGTGTTTGAATGATGAGGTTACCACCGTCGGTGACGTCATAGCTGAAAGAATCGCGGAAGAAAACGCAAGTTTCCATCTTGTGCTTGATTAAAATCTGAATTGCATTGTGTGGATCACGATGCCCGCCGTCGTGACAAATGATAATAGCATTATGTGAGTGGTATATCGTGTACACATGCTTCCAATAGTAAATTAAAAAACGAATGATTGTCAACAGCCGATAAACAATTGCTTTGCTTAAAAGCAATAGTGCTCTCTCAAGACATGATGTTGGAATACTACAATGTTACATGTTAATTTGAGGAAGATTGGTCATCGATCACCCTTATCAGTTGATTTCACGGGATTGTTTCGGTTCATCATAACCATAATTAATAAGCTGATCAATGAAACCCGCAAAAGCGAGTTTGTCAGCGGCGGATCATTAGATCCGCTTGGTGGTGTGGGGAAATGAGGCTGTTCGAGTGAAGATCATCAGTGTCATCTTCGCCGTTAGGGGATGTCACCACCAGGAGGCATAGATGGCAGGACGATACTCGCAGACGCTCTCATCAGATCTGTGAACGGTGTAAGCGCGGGTGTCCAAGTTCGATATTGACCATCAAAAAGCGTTGATCTCCTGGTCCATAGTAGCGTCGGTTTTATCGATCAACGTCGTGGAAGACCGGGATCGGCAACGCTTAAACCGTTCTCGCAGTGGCTGCCTAGTTGACATTACACACGTGCAACAACTTCAACGACAAGAGCAGCTTCAGCTTGTGTGAATGAAACAAGGGAATCTACAATTACAAGTTATCCAGGCCCACCGGCAATCCGACAAACCATTACCAACGATTCAGAAAGAGATCACGGAGTTGGATCTAGAGAACGTGGTTTTGTTGACGAGTGCCATGACTGAAAGCATGTCAACTCGCCGACGTCGATAGGTTGGGCCTACTTGGATACTAAAGGTTTTCTACCAACCACAAATGGATTCTATCGCTGGCGAGCCAGGAAAGGACAAAGTAGGAAAATTGAACCAGTCAAGCCAATGATGAATGGATATCGACTGCCATCCCATTTGAGTCCGTCGCCGATGCAGGAATCAAAGCAGAGGCTGACAACACAGTCGACACTAGCGCTAGTATCAGTGTTGTCACCTATCTGACTTCGGCGCCAACACCAGTTCCGCGAGCAACGCTTTGAAGTCGATGACCCTGGCGTGCTCAACCCAAACTAATGTCACCAACACAACGTTAACGTTGAGAAGCTTGGGCAAGAATAGTTACAACATCTACCTCTATATGGTACGAGTGTTGTAAGTCACTGAAGGACAAATGTAGCCTGATGAACCTAATTTCTTGATAGTTAGTATCATATGGATTTTGTCAGATATGAGCTTTGGTATAAAGGTTATCTTCACAGAATTTTTGGTTCAGAAGCAGAACTGAAATTTTGGTTATCATCACCTAAACCGCATGTAAAATACTTACGTTAGTATACCTTGATGGCACAAATCGATGTTGGAGTCAGATGGTGATGCATGTGTGTTCATGGCTCAGGGGTCACCGTGAACATTAAGTGGATAATTTCATCAGCAAAATCGTTGGTAGCATTTAGGACATACCTTTAATTTGTTAGTCATGAGTCGAAAGGAAATAGTCATAAACGAAGAATTCCTATTAATGTTTTTGTCCTGCATGTACACTCTCAGTAGACTTGTTACATCAATGGTTTTAATCATTCTGTCCTGTAATATTCAACTTACCGTTTGGTGTGTATGGTAGAAAAATAGGAAGGGTTTTTTTTTCGTCGATGAAGTAGACCATCGCGTAGCAAGTGTCCGGGTAACTATGTCACGTGACTCAATGCCCAGGGCCCGGTTAGGGTTGGACAACATCACCCCATGGCACGATTTTGTTACCACTACCAGCAGCATTGTTTACCAATTCATCTATCAGTGCGGTTGAGATTTCAGCTATTATGTGATGACCCCTAGTCCGCCTAAATCAGCTCCGCCTTCCTTCGCCCGCCCACTCATCGGGCATCGCCGACTTCGCACGGAGGTATTTGTCCACTTATCACCCACCCATCGCCACTAGTTGAGCACCAACATGGTCTCCACTGATCGGGAAGAGCCGCAGCCGTATCTGGGCCCCTACACCAACTCCCATTACGCTGCCCGCGCCCACAACGAGGGCAGCCGTCTTTTGGGGGCTACTTACAACGATGAGCGCCACCGGCTGAGAGAACGCCGGGACCATCTGGTTCCTCGCTACCGTGACATGCTGACTGGTCGCTACCGCTACCGTGAATTGGACACCCTGGACCGGGTGTGGGGCTACGGCGGCGCCAGCGAGCGGCGGCGCCTGGCCACTGACCTCACCAGCATGGCGCCGAACAAACCGCTCTTCCAGCGGCTTTTGCTGCACCACTACTCAGTGCTGAACCCGCTGGCGATCGACCCCAATGCCGAGGACTCGTTTGTCATGGATGACGCCCTGGTGTACTCGCAGCCGCTGTTGATGAGACCGCAAAAGCTCATCGGCCATTACAAGCGGCTCGCCGACTGGCAGGAGTTTACCCGCGATATCTACGAGGTACCGGCAGCCACGCGGGAATATTATATTGAGCAGAACTCGTTGATTGAGCGATACTGTGAGATTGACAACTTTTTGGACCACGGTCATATCCATTACGACACATTACAGAACTACGAAACTCAGGACGACTTGACACCAGTGTTTGAACACGATAACGAAGACGCTGATGGCGACAAGAGTCCGCAGCAGCAAAAGGGTAAGCGCACGAAAGCGGCGCCGCTTCCTGTGGACGCCGAGGGCGGCATCTTAGCCCACCACTACCTCGGCTTCAACGAAAAGGAGGAACACCTGGCAGTGGTGCTCGCCATTATCGTCAATTTTGCCATCAACATCATCTTGCTCATTGGCAAAATTGTCGTGGCGCTTCTTACCAATTCGATCTCGATGGTGGCTTCGCTCGTTGATTCGGTACTTGATTTCTTATCGACGTTTATTATCTTTGTTGCTAACAAATTGGCGCTGAAGAAGAACTGGCGCATCCAGCACTTGTACCCGGTGGGGAGACTGCGACTTGAACCGCTTGGGGTGCTCATTTTCTCAGTGATCATTGTCATTCTGTTTTTTCAAGTTGGCCAAGAAGCTGCTAAACGGTTATTTTGGCCGGCGCCAGAACACAAAGTGCCCGCCACCATTGGTAAGGACGCCATGGCCATCATGGTGTTCACCATTGTATGTAAGCTTGGCTGTTGGGTGTGGTGTGCGCTGAACCCCAACCTGAGTGTGCAGGCGCTTGCCCAGGACGCCATGACTGATATTGTCTTCAACACAGTGCTGTTGCTCATGCCGGCAGTAGGTCACTGGTTTGACATCTGGTGGCTTGACCCGTTGGGTGCGTTTGGGCTTTCGATTTACGTGATTGTGCTGTGGTCGCTGACGGCTATCGAGCACATTCAGAAGCTCTGTGGCGCCGCCGCTGACATTGAAGACTACAAAACGATATTGTACTTGGCGTACCGGTTTGCTGAACCCATCAACAAGATTACGGCGTTAAAAACGTATCATTTCGGGGAAAAGCTCGTGGTGGAAATTGACGTGGTGTTTGACATTGAGAAGTACCGCCTCAACTTTAAGGACTGCCACGATCTTGCCGAGCTGTTGCAGTATGCTCTTGAGTCGTTACCCATGGTGGAGCGGGCGTTCGTCCATATCGACTACATGGTGGGCAACTACAAAGGCCACCTACACTAAGCCCACCCCTTCCCCTTTTTCTGTGATGAAATGACGCGACCAACGACTTTGTATAGTAAATACACCAAAAGAACCTGTTAGTTTATTGAGATTACCATCCGAAACTCTCCATCAGCAAGTCGACATTGCGGTACAAAGTCTAATCAAGAGTAATAGGAAAGAACTGTTGGTGACGTGCGGATCGCTCAGCTGGTTTCCGAATCACCTGGTTTTTTTTGGGGATAACAGGATTTACCCAGGTGTACCATCTTTTGTGAACGAGGGAGATGATGAGTCGTTGAACCATCCAAATTTGGTATACGAAGAGTCTGGACCAATCTCCTTAAATCCCTGGATGCAACGGAATGAAACATTCGTTGGTATCATTGATTATTGATTCTTCAGCGTGAATCTAGATTCGTGGAAATTCTTCAATAGTTCTTGAAAAATTCCCTTTCTAATAAGTAATGAACTGGATTCTAACAAGAATGAGATACGACTAGTAAGATCATCAAGTGCCACTTTTATGAGAGAAAAGCGGAAGTACTACTTGGATTTATGATTATCCGTGAAAAACTTTGGAATCAACATTTTTCATCACCAATTGTTTTCATCAGAATACAGTTCGCCTAAAATTTTGCAATGTTCGTCTCAGGCCATGGCGTTCACTGGCAGACCTTGTTCCTCTATTTAAATTAAACCTTCTCTCACAGTCTCGTTGCTGATACGTAACCTTCACGTATATCTTGACTTTTGGCTACAGTATCACGCAAACAATACTAATCTTCACGTACCATACGCAAATCATCTGAACCGTGAAAGATTTATCAAATCTTGTGATAACTTAATATTGAGGTTAGAATCAAGAATTTTAGTGTAGCCCGTGGAAACTCGATGCTTTCCCATCCTCCAACCCTGGACAAGTCCTTTGATTACTATGGGTATCTTGTAATTTGAAGAAATGGTTTCATTGATATGAATTGTACGCTGAAGGCTTGGTAAATCTGGGCGTTGAAAATCTGGTAGTGCAAAGACCCAGGGCACCCTAACCGGGACGAACTAACACCTCACCACTAGTCCGCGCACTCAGTAACGATCCACCATCGTCACCGTCACTAATGTCTCGTCCGCCCGCATATTCCATTGACGACATCAATGAGTTCGTCATCCCTGACGAACCGATTGACACGCCTACCTCCGCTAACAATCAGCAATCACTGTCGCTGACGTCGCAAGGGGCGCTGCGATCGCTGGCGTCGGCGGGGATGTTTTCCGGGTTTATGCCCAAAGTCGACCTTTCCCTGACATTTTCCGCTTTCACTACGTCCACCAGTACCACTAATAAAGTCAGAGAACGTCAGTATACTGGTGGTGATACTTTGGATGAGCCGGTGTGGGCTACTCTCAAGCGCGACGGTCTGCAGATTCTTAGGCGCCTCTTCATCGTGGTGTGGCCGATGCAATTGACCAAGCTCGCCTCTACTCACCAGCTGCGGCTTGTGAACTTTGCTCAGGCCAATGGTCTCCGTCTTCCTTCCAGTCTTAGTCGCGTTGTCGATGTTGACGAGCAAGACGCCGGTGAATCGGCGACGGGGATTCTGAATCAAGATTTGGTGTTGGAGACATTGGACTGGGACTTATGGGGTCCACTCATATTTCTGCTTGTGTTCAGTGTGTGCCTTGGGATGCTGGCAACTGATACCAACGGAGTGTTTTCGGGGTCGTTTGCGTTTGTGTGGTTATTCTTCTTCATCATTGGGCTCAACATTCAGCTTCTTGGCGGTACGATTTCTTTCCTCAGTGCCATCTCGGCGGCAGGCTACCTGATGTTCCCCATTGTTCTTGGTGAGGTAATCTGCCTGTTGTTGCTTAAGCACAAGTTTTTCCGTATTATTTTAATGGCTGTGCTCAACGTGTGGAGTATCTACGTGGGGCTGCTTAGTCTCAAATGTCTGGGGGTATTGCCGGGAAGAGTGCTTCTTGCGATGTACCCATTGGCCCTCATGTACTGCATGCTTCTGTGGTTGGTTGTGATCACTTAGACGATGAATACCTTATGCATATATTAAGCGGAAACGTGAATCTATAAATTGATGCAATTATGCGAGGGCTACGGCCACGGCCGCGATAACCACCCCGAAGCCAGCGGGGACGAGCCGCGACGATCCACCCTCCAGTTCCCGCAGCGGTTGCGGGGATGCTGCCATCAGCAGTGATGCTACCGCCAACAGCGATGTTGCCGTGACTGCCAGAGCCAGAGACGACGACACTGGCTCAGGCGAAGTCCCGCTCAACTTGAACGTAGTGTTGGTGGGCAATTTAGCGAAGCCAATGCGTTGGCGGTCGATGTCAAATGTTGTATAGTAACCTTTAAGAAACGCGGCCCCAAATATCCACTGGCTGCCGATTCCTTGGATCTTCAGCGCACAGTAGCCAGGGTACTCCGCGTACTCGTTGCCCTTTACATTATCCACGATAATCTCGAGTGTCAGGTTGGCAAAGGCCACTGGAATTGATCCCAGGGCATTACAGGGGAAGGCAAAGTTGCCGTCACCATCAGCAATGACGTTTTTAGTGCCAAATTGGCGATTGTGAAGCTCAGTAGCGTTGGCGAGAGGAAGCACCACCCCTGTAGTGCCAGTGTCAATAATCACCTGCTGGCTGCGAGTCATGTTGACAAGCCAGTAGTCCAGATCAGATACCACCGGCTCCCAAATTACCGTATTGTTTGTGAAAAGAGGACGCGAGTCATCTTCGCCCCATAGTATGAGCCCAGCCAGTTCAGGGCGAGGTTGAGACAGCAAGTAAAGCGAAAATTGAGCTGATGGTATTAACAGCTTATTAGCCATTTCGCTTAACACGTTTTGAGGGCCGGCTCGAGGCAGAATCCCTAGAAGACCCAGAATGTCATAGGGAGCAAGCATCTTCGGCGAGTCGCTGGTAAGCCCCCAAGTAAGATTAGTGAACTGGAGATCGTTAATACGGAAATGAACGCCTTCGCCGCCGTCAATCATGGCAAATTTGACGGTTTCCTTAGCATACTCGTACCACTTGGTGGTAGTCGATTCGAGGGAGCGAGGGGAGTTGAATCGCGGCACCGAACCAACCAGTGCCAGCTGGTTGTATAACCACGTGAGGGGACTACCGGTATCCACCAACACCAGGAATTGGTCGTGATAATTAGCCTCCGGATCGATCACTGTGATATTGGCATAATAGATGGCATTGGAATCGTCAGTGTAAAGTGGTTGGACAAATTGAGTCCACGGCACCTCCACTTGTTTCAGTTGAACCTGAGGTGCTCGATTGGCACTGCCATTCGGTTTAACCACCAGCTTTCGAGACATCTTCAAGGTGATTTCAGGCGATGCTTTGAGCGACCGGAAGTCAGCCACAGGGTAGAAAAGCCCGGCAACCATGCCGAACCACAAAACCACCAGCACCCACGCCTTCATATTGTTGCAAACGACGTGAATGAATTGCTTGGGGCTTGAGGCACGGTATATATATGGGCTGCCTTTTTGCCGCGCCCAATGCGGTAAATTCATATCTGCACGTCAAATTGTCGGTGATGTCATTAATGCGTTGATTGACTCAAAGAAAGCATTTGCACTTTGGAAATGATTCAGTAGTGAATCAGTTTCATTAGCTGAGGTAGCCATTGAAGAGCAGGTACGCAACCCATGTTCGTTGCCTAATTTCTTGTGAATATAGCTAGAGTTAACCTTGTTGTTCTACATGCCTGTTTTGGCTGGAATGGTGCGCGTCTCAAAACACATGGCTGGTGGTGAGGGGCTTCAACGGGCGATGAGATTATACGCAAGGCGCCCATTGAGCGACGCCATTTACCACTAATTGCATTGTAAACGAGATGATGATAGAGTATGCTATTTTTAACTTCACCCAACTGTCGGCGACAGTGGTCGTATATACACCTCTTCGTGTCGACGCAGGGATAGGGTCGCGTGAACGGGGATCTCATCGTGACGCACCGCGCGTCGTACATTTATTAGCAGCGTGTATCAGAGGCGATGGAAAGTTGCCGACGCCGGTAAATTTTATTGTATGACATAAAGATTGGTTTCATTACTATAGTCGAAGCTACTTAGCAAACGTTCAATTTTCAATTTGAATGACGACCTTACCAGAGGCCTTGCCCAGCCCCACCTTGTTGAAGGCATTCGGGGTGTCAGCAAAGCTGCAAGTTGAGTCCACAAACACTTGAAGCTGACCTTGTTCATATAACGACGTGGCGTAGTCAAGCCATTTACCAGGCTTGAGAAGATCATACTTATAGGTGTATGGAAGCAAACCAAGCTGCAGCCGGATTGCCCTGACAGCGAGAGCGCGGTTAGCCCAAAATAAGGAGACAAGATCATCTTGCAGGTGGTGAATGTGACGATCACCCACAATGGAAACGTAGCCATTGGGCTTGGGAGCAATGATTTGTCCCATGTGGCCAAACAAGTCATTGTTACCAGCACAATCATAAATGTAATTGAACTTGCCATTTCTGGCAGATTCAAGCACAGGGGTCAACAAGTTAGGGAAGTCGTGGTAGTCAATTTGCTTGGTCGAGCCCAACAGCTGCACCAAGTCGTTTGAACGACCACCATTGGTAGTGACGATTTCAGCAGCTCCCTTAACGCGAGCAAGTTGAATAAGGTATCTCCCCACAGATGTGGCGCCACCGAGAATCAAAACCTTAGACCCTCGGATTTGGTGGCCTTCCATCATTTGGTTGGCAGTACCAAACACTAAGGGGATGGCAGCGGCCTCTTTCTTCGATAAGCCAGCAGGAATCTTGGAGACGGTGCAGTCAAGCCCACCAGGTTTAATGGTAACGTACTCAGCAATAGTACCTTTACCCAATGGGTGAGAGTATAACCCATAAACATGGTCACCCACTTTTAACCCTGATGATTGCGCTGCTTGCGCTCCCACAGCTTCCACCGTCCCTGAGTAATCACGCCCCACACCTTGCTTATTGTTCCAGAAGGAAGTGATGTAATAAGCCAGGTTGTATAAGACAATGTCAACTGGATTCAATGAGGCTGCGCTAACTTTGATCAACACCTCATCGGCTTTGGGGTGTTTCAATTCACTGACGGTGACATGAAGGGGGTCTTTATTATAGGCGTAAGTAAATGATTTGAAGGTGGGCATCTTCTAATGGAATTGGCTTCTAATAGGGATAATTGCTACTTATTTAAGTTTACAGCAGCAAGAGAGAATCCCATATCGCGTTTTTCCTTTCTCAGGGTAGTGCTCGGACAATTAACCGTTTCGGCAACCCACCGAGAGGTATATGCACTTTGTAAATCGTGTGAAATGTAATTAACATTTGGTGGCAAAAAACACAACCAACAGAACAATATGTTGAAAATTAAATTCCATCAATGAAACGTAGTTGTTACCAAATGCGATGATGTTCCAGTTGGACGTTGCATGTATTGCCCTAAAAAAAAAAAACAAAACCTACTGCTCTCGAAAGTTCTTGTTGATGACTGGTAACATCCAGAGTAATTATCGACGCGAGGCTGTATATCATCACAAGCTAAAATATATCAGCACCTCGGCAACGACTTTGGCAAGGTGGGGTTACATTGATTTGAAATCAAATCGAATCGTTATGCCACGGAATGATTCGCTCCCACATGTCGGCACTTTCGGAAGTCGTATCCCTCTAGACTTCCTCTAGACTGACACGACGAGGAGTTCCGATGCACTTGCGTAGTCTCGCCCGCAATACCATCTAACCGAATCTCACAAGCGTACGCAGATTCAGATCAAATCATTTGGGCATTTGGGAATATTTGCTTTCCGTCTCCATGAAGGTGGCGTCAACTTTTCACTCACCCACACTAAATCCTTTAAAGAGTTCGTTAGTTAGTGTTGGGTTATTCGCGACGACAAAAATGGCTAGCACCTTGCTTCAAGCTAGATGACAAGCCACGATCGACTAAAAAGATTTGCAATGAAACTGTGTTCAAATTTAAATTGTGTGCAATCGTCCTTTACTCATGTCTCACACAACCAGAGATTATGGACTTGATATACAAAAGCACAGCAAAATCTCACGACGAAGTTAAGACTTTAGGGAAGCACAAAGCCCAAAAAACCTTCGAACTAAATCAACATCTGTTGCAGAGTTTTGCAGACTATGCGCTCACTTTTCCATACATCAAGCCTGCGAGCCTCAGGACACACTGCATCTTAGTAAGCACAGAAATCGACCCCGCACCCGACCATGGCACGGCCTAAGTCTAAAGGGTGCAATAATTGCAAGAAGTTGAAGATCAAATGCAATTTGGCCCAGCCCCTGTGTGAATACTGTGTTTACACCAATAAGACCTGTGATTATACCCGAGTTGAAAGCCCCCCTGTCCGCACAAATGTGTTCATTATGCACTCAAACAATAAGGTGAAGAAGCCTCGCAGGAAGCCGAAACCAGCTGTGTCTGAAGTTTCAGCCGTATTCACGCCTCCAACAACGCCACTCAGCACCGTTTCAACAACATCCTCACAAAGTCCTTCTCCCATTTCCATACAATCGCTTCTCCTGATTCCATTGGCGGGCCATTTGGTTTCAGATGAAGTATTAGATGTGGTGTCTCCGAGAATCATCAGCACTCCAAGAATTCCTGCGGTATACAGTCTTAATAGCCCGTCAAAATTGATGGGCATCTCACCGTTTGAGTATGGGATTCTTCACCACTTTGAAACTTGGGCGAAGGCCAAGACCATATTGTCTAATGAAGCTCGTCTTCGGTTTGCATGGGAAAAAGTGATTCCCAGATACTTGCTTGAACTGGATATTTTGAAAATTTCGGTTTTCGCTTACTCAAGTATGTTACTTTTACAAAAGCATAATCCTCAGTATTTGCTAGGGGAAACCTCATACTCATCTAGTTTCAATGATGAACTGTTAACACTATACGAGTTTGCATTCACTAATTTTGAGTCACAAATCAAGCAAATCAACAAGTTAAACAATAAGATCAAAGCTGGTGAACCTATCAATGAGTTAGAGGCAATATCATTTGTCATGGGCGCAACAATATTAATGAGAGTATTTGGAAGACATTCACGAAGAACTATGCCATTGATTTCGTTTGATAGATCGCAGCAAGACTTCCAAAGCTTGTGTCTGGAAATGCGCAGAAGTCTCACTATATGTTGGCCAATCTTAGAAAGAGAACAACAAGCAGCATTGGTCCCATTACAAGTGAAAAACATAGACTGTCCATTGTCACCTATAATCCGTCAACTACTAGATGACTTGGACGCGCTGCCTCCAGAGCTACTCAAAGGTAAAAGAGATCATGAGGAAATAAATATCAAGCTTGCCTTGCGAGATGCTATTCTCATACTAAATGCTCAAGTTCAGCAATGTGTGGAGTTATCATCGGAGGTTCCTATTCACCGCTTCCAGCATCTTACCGAGGAGTCGTTCTGGTGTCAAGTGTACAATGAAAACTACTTTGCTCTTAGAATATTGAATTTGTATTGCGCCCATTTGTTGCTTCTCCAATATTACTTTGTGAGGGAACGTAATATGTGGATCGATTTCATGAAATGGTTTCAACAAGATAACGTATTCAAATTTGGAGGGTTCTTCTATGATGGAGATCAGAAGTTGTACGAAAAAGTGGTTCTTAACGGATACACAGCAGGGTGTCGTGACTTGTGGAAGATTCATATAGATTGAAGTAATACTATTTACGAAGTGAAATAAGAGGAAAATGGCTAGCTTCTCAACGAGCTCAGAATAAATACACGACATAAAATCATTTCTTTACAAACTATTCTGTTTATTTTCCAGATATCTGAAGCATGAATATGCGGAGACTGTACTCCACTAATAAAGGATGTCAATTGTCTTTCCGTGCATTGACTATTCCATCTTTTTTCTCGTTTCAATGCTCAATCAAAATTGGCGCACCAAATTGCTTGTGAATTTAACAATAGCGACCCGAATTTTGTGAATTCAACTATACGATCATGATGAAAAACTGATAAAGGGCCTTAGTCTAGAATGGATTGAAGCCAACAAGCCAACTGATGAATTATGGATTTCAGCGATAACATATTTAACCGCAAAAATTATATACGATGATTTGAGCCTCTGGCATTGTGGTATCAAGTGTAAGGTTACGTTTGGTGCAACACACCAAGTTCGAATCTTCAACGTCGCACACTATGATGATCAAAACGGATGAGTGAACAATCTCTGACGTCTTCACCGACGATTATGATTACAACATCCTGCCTTCCTACTGACTATGCGATAATTATTTTTAATTTGATTTTTTTTCAAATGATAACTGAATGAATGTCTCTATACTATTAAACAAATATAAAATCTTTACTCGGTGGAGGCACCGCCTTTTCTTCGCTTTTCACGCTCCATGCGGGCGATCTTCTTCAAGTCATCTTCCGACGGCTCGTAGATATGCCAAATAGTGTAGTGAGGGAGACCGCCAACGCGGAACCCCATCTTGCGTGCCATCTTACCAAAGGCTTCAGTCTCGGCGTGATTTTCAAATGTAAACGCCGGGAAGTTCACCCCTTGGCGGAAGATCGCCGCCCGGGCGAGAATCGACACACCACCGACACCATCTAAGTTAACAAGCTCGTCAGGGTTGCCATTGGGGTCACGGATGTAAGCCAAGTGCATGCGCCAGGTGGGGTACTCAGCGTACCCTTCAACAATGACATCGTCCTCATCCAATGTCAGCGCGAGCTCCAACGCCGCCTCCGATTCTTCCCACGAGTTCAAATCGTAGGGCTGAGTGCTGCCTAAAAATGTCGGGAGGGGCCGCCACACGTTTGGTACCACCACATCGTAGTCGTGCTTCATGAGCGTCTCGATAACGTCGCCGGGACACGTTTCGATGTCGACGTCACGCCAATAGACCCAGGTGTGGTCGGGCTTCAACGCCAGCGCCGTCAACCAATTACGGGCCCGTCCCATCAATTTGCGTCGAATTCCCTGCACTTTAACCGCGTGACGATCGCTGAACCCTTGACCAATGACCTGGCCAAAATCTTTACGGAAAATCAGCACCAGCCGGAACGGCTTGGTGAAGTTGGGGTGGTGGAGAGTGTCGGGATTGTACGCCTTGTCGACCTCGTCCATGTACAGTTTTTCCATATACTGTTTGTACAAGTCCAGTGACCCCAGCTTGGATTGCTGGCGGAACTTGTCTTCGGCGCGTAAAAGGTCAACAAGAGTACCGTTTTGGAGCGCTACCAGGTAGGTAAATACTGTTTCCAAGGTGCGGTCGTCGGGCAGGCAGTCCAGAACTAAAAAGGCAATGTCGATCTTACTATGGTCGTAAGTGAGGTTCATGAGGTTGTAAAACGCCATCGGCAACACGTCCTCAGCGTTACGTAACGGCATCAAAAAAAGGATAGCGTCGTCGCGGCCGTTGGCCAGGCCACGGTAGTCGCCAAGATCATAGTATTCGACGGTGTTTTCGTAGGTTTTCTCCACCGGGACCACCCCCAGCGGCGTGACTTCGTATTGCTCGAACTCCTCGTCGTCGTGGATCTCAGGGATGTCCATCTTGGGGTGGTGGAACTTGCCGGCGTACAGCATCAGGTCGCGGTGGAGCCACCCCACCGTGGCCAACACCATCAACGTCACCACAACCAACACGTACCGCTTTCGTAGCCACCGCAGCGGCTTTCTCGGCGCGAGCTTGTTATATCTGAGTCGTTAGTATATGATTCGGCAACATCACATTGATGGATAATCGCTAATACGTACATCGGGAGCCCCGCTTTCAGCTTGCCCCGTTCCTTCGCTGTCATCGATACGTGCCTGGTGCAGTGAAAAGTGTGCGTGGAAAAACTGCTGCACTGGTGGTCGAACCGCGAGCGAGATCACAGGCGGAAAAACAACGCCGGGCGGCGAGTGCGGAGGCAACGCTAGCGAAGGGTGGCAGCCGGCGTAGAAGGTGGTAAGATGGGTGAAGGCTACACGACGGACGGACTCGAGGAGTTTGTGGGGAGGCCCTGGCTACGTACTATGAGGTCATTACCTGAGAAAAAATGTCGTAAACTGCGCTTGAGGTAAGCGGTGACTTCGGGCCACGAGCCCTCTGTCTCTCCCTGCCCAGCTAAGGAGGGAGCAAAACCGAATCTTCCAACACCAACAACCCCACCACCCGTGGCTGGCGGCAAACAATTTTTTCGGGAGCGAACGCGTCTGTCAGGGCCCGTGCGATTTCATTAGAAAAAAGAACAGTCTATACCTGGAGAGACACGACTATGCGACTGTTCGCTGCGTCCACCGTGCGACCCACCGTGCGAACCAAAGTGTCGCAATCGCTTACCCGCGGTAACTGCAAAAACGCCACACATGGTGAAAGTGTGGATCATGGCTGATGCAACGGTTACTTTTGGCTTTATTGATCCAATCGTGATTACAAATCGTGTGGGAAACTTTCCATTGTCAATCTGACAAACACGTCATCAAAACGTGTAGCCCTCTAATCACAAAGTTTCAGAGGCACGACTAATTATACGAAATTAGGGAAAACGACTTTGTCGGAGAGGTCAAACTCCGGTTAGGCTTTCTCAGAGCGGCAAGTCTCGATTATGTCGCGACTCACGTGCCCTGCTTCGTGGATTGTGTGGCGCGGATAGTATTTATGAGATGGGTCACCCACCGCCCCCGAACTTCGTGCCTAAATGTCGATTAAGGTCGCCATTGTTGGCGGCGGTCCCGCTGGCATCGCTGCCCTCGACGCCATGGTCCATGAACAGGCGTTTGCTGACGTCACCTTGTTTGACTGCAAGCCCGAAGTGCTGGGGACTTGGGTGTACAACAGTGAGACCCCTCCGCCGTACACGGTGCCAAGCACTCGCGCCGGCAGCGACGCCCCGTCACTGCCGTCACTTCCGACACGGTTTCCGGCCACGACCCCAGCGCTGGCAGCACCGGACCACATTAACCTGACCTATGCCTCTCTTGAGACTAACGTTGAAGCCGATGTCATGGAGTTCACCTACTCGCGGATCCCTACCGTTCGTTCAGCGCTCACGCTAGCTAAATATGGCGCCGATCTGCCGTTTCGCCACCACCTGGTGATTCGTTCGTGGCTTCAGCTGCTTACCAAAGGCTATGAACACCTTATCCAGTTGAATACTACCGTGGAGCTCGCGGAGTGGCGCCAACACACTTCGGGCGACCACTGGGTGCTCACATTGCGCCGCCGTGCCCCTGACGGCGATCACTGGCGTCAAGAGCGCTTCGATAAGCTTTTGGTGGCTCTGGGTAAATATATCAAGCCGTACGTGCCCCAGGTCCCAGGCCTTGGTCTGTTCCCTGGCTTGTTACAACACTCACAACAATTCCGGTCGCTGGAAACGTATCGCGGTAAGAAAGTTGTGGTTGTAGGTGGCCTGATCCTGGCAATGGATTTGGTATACGATGTGCTTTTCGTGGCAAGCAAAACCCTTCTGCTGCGTACCCGTGATGGCCATCAAGTAGAGATAGTGGGGTCGGCAGCGTTTGACCATCCTAAAGTTGATAAACGAGGCCGCATTGAACGCATTGAAGGACTGACGGTTTACTTTGATGACGGTTCCCTCGAGGAAGGGGTTGATTGCATTTTATACGGCACAGGCTATTTGCTCTCAGTGCCTTTCTTACCTAATGAGGATTACAGCCATGGGCGATTACATCGAGTGTACCAACATGTGATTAGCATCGACAATCCGTCGCTAGCCTACGTTGGGTTTGTCGCTGGCGGGCTCACATTCAAAGTATTTGAATGGCAGGCAGTATTTGCGGCACGAGTGTTTGCTGGTAGAGCCGCTTTGCCTTCGAAAACGGCAATGGAGCAATGGGAACACCAACGCTTACAGAAGATCGGCAATAACGACCGCTTCAACTATATCAACGATGACTTCGAAGGGTACTTTGAAGGGCTCCGTTCGCTCGCCGGAACCGAGGGACCTGGACGTCAACTCCCCCCGTATAATGATGAGTGGCGAGTGAAGCTTATGCGTGGTCACCAGCGCAAACGAGATTTCTTCGAGCGCCACTATCATACACCCCCAGCACTACCAGCGCAACCATCAACGGAACTTTCATCGCGGGCAGCTCGTCTTTGAATTCAGATTCAAAAAAAATTCACAATCATCATATCATGTATCATATTCGTATTAGATATTACATCTATTTACGGTAGTCTAAGTCGCGTTTGTTGGGGTGGCTCATGTTCCACCAGTACCGGATCTGCGAGTACGGGTAGGTGGTGTAGTTGTAATCCATGTCGGAGTACCACAGCACACACCCGCCGAACTGAGTGCCGTAGACGGCCTTCTTGAGCTCGCGCTGGCACTCGTCGAACCACCGGTAGTACGCCTCCAGCGTCACCTCCACCAGCTTATAGGTGCCATCCACCACTGGGCGCGCCACTTTAGTGAAGAAAGTCGCCACATACTCGATCGCCAGCACCACCAGCGCGTGACCACTAGCACTGTTAGGTCCCGCCATCAAGAACATGTTGGGCATATCTTTGACCATAGCGGTTTCGTAAGCGGTAATGCGGCCATCTTTACCGGTCCAAAGCGATTCAAGAGTAGTGCCGTTGCGCCCCACCACGTCTATCGTCTTCAACAGCTTGGAGATGTCGTAGCCAGTACACGCCACCACCACGTCGCAAGCGACGTAGCGACCCAGCTTGAGTACGAGGCCGTGCTCGTCAAAGTGGCTGATGCTGTCGCCAATGAACTCCATGCGCGGGTGGCTAAGACTGTCGAGGTAGCTGTGGTCGATGATAAGACGCTTACATCCGATCTTGAAATCAGGAATGACATCCTTCCAGTACTTTTTCGGCGTGTGCTTCTTCATGTAGTTGATCAGTTCCCGCGTCAGCTTCCAGCGGACAAACTTCGACCACCAGCCGTCGCCCTTGAACATGGGGAAGCGGAATTCGAAAAATGACGCCACGATCAACCGCAAAATCCACTGGAATAACCATACTCGCAGCACTAAATTGTAGAGCCACTGCAACGCTTTGGGAAGCGGCGGCATCACGTGGTGCTTCGACCGGGCAATCTGTGTCACCAGTTCGACTTCATAGCCATCGTTGAGCAATGCCGGCACCAACTGGCACGCCGAGCACCCGTTGCCGATCACCGCCACGCGCTTGCCCTTTAAGTCAACGTCACGCCACATCGCCAGGTGGATGTATTCGCCCTTAAACTTGTCATGAAGCCCCCGGTACAGAGGGTGACGAGGGTGCACGAGCCCCCCGAGACAGTTGACCAAAATCTTCAGGCGGTGGATGATGGTGTCGCCGGTTTCGACATCGTGAATGACAAGCTCCCATTCGGCGTCGGCCTCGATCCAGGTGGCGCGGTTGACCGCGTGCCCCAACAATGCCTTCTGCTTCAACTGGTGCTTGTCGACGACCCGGTCGATGTACTCGGCGATTTCGAAGCCATAACTTTGCGAACGCAGCCAGTTAGTAGCCAACTCGCTCGAAAGGGAATACCAGATACTGGGGATGTCGCACGCAACCCCAGGATAAGTATTGGCGATCCAGGTGCCGCCAAACTTGGGGTACTTTTCAATAATGAGAAAATCGCTGTCGCCAAACTTCTGCTGACAGGTGATGGCACTGATGATACCAGCGAAGCCAGCACCAATGATACTGATGGTGGAACGCAGGCGTTTGGGCGGCCGCGCCAGCGCTGGCGCCACGGGTTCGTCGCCGAGAATCTTGCTGGTGACATCGTAGCCGACGCGGTACTTGCCCCGGTCGGCGTGGGAGTCCTTGGTGAGAGTGATGGTGGACATGTTGTGAAAAATCACTGGAACGACCGTTGCGACGCCCAGCGCTTTATACACCGGGGTAGGTGACCCCCACCGGCCATGTGAAAATAGGAGCGCTGATGACACATGTCAGCCGAAGTAAAAGAAAATTCCGAACACCGGTGAGGTAGATGTCAAAAGAAAAAAGCAACTATGAGTGACTTCAAAAATGAGAATGAAGTCACTTTATTTATTCAGATCATTGGCGATCGTTGAGATATCGGCATTTGCTCGTTTGGGGACTATAAGCGAGGCGACATAATTCGCAGTTACTAATTTGTGCGGGGCTCGTTTTCGCGACTAGTACCGCTGCCGTCAGTTTTAACTGCTTCTGATTTCGGTAGACAAACGTCCTCATTACTCAAATGGAGCGGGGGACACTTCATGTTATGCAATCACTTCTTTTGTGACGACAAAACAAAAGTATAATTAGCTTACAGTTACCACCACTGGGCCGTTAAATAAGATACATTTGGCCAGGACAAGTGTGTCTTGGTCAGTACAATAGATTCCATCAATCTTTCAGCTTGTAATCGTTAAACCTCGTATCGTCAATATCACCGAGTCATCCGAAAGTCGGCTGCTAGATCATATCATCCTAGAGTGATTTTGGCAGACGTTTGCGATCATTCTTCATCTTTGTGATCCCCGTTCATAAAAAAAAAACTGCAAGTTCGCCGAATTACGCCGTTAAGCATTAGCGATGCGAATTTTTATACCACTCAAAAGTGCGTCGCTCCTCACCCACCCATTGTTATGTACCGCCAATTTCGCATTATTGGGGGTTTTGGGCACAAGTTTGTCGCAAATTCAACTGTCGCACCTACTGTCGGACCCTCGGAAAATGAATTTCGGATTCTCATGCTTCCGTTGTCGCATTGATGTCGGAAAAGAGAGTTACGCTTGTCGTCGTTGCGGTTTGCGGTGTCGGAAATTCTCGACGTGATCTTCGGGTGCGTGTCGAAAACTATTCAAACTTTGTCGCATTCACATGCGGTTTTTTCAAAATTAGTGACGGACGTGGTGTCGCTAGATCTACATGTTTAGCCTTCGCCAGAGCGACGATAGTTCTCGAAATTTCGACAGCAGGACCGACAACGATCCTCGAAATTTCGACAATTTCTCACGGCAAGTGCGAAATTGAGTCTGACACGAACTGCGACTACGTACAACCGCGAATCCGACAAGCCAAGCGTCACCACTGCCTTTTTTCCGACTCCCGGTGCGCAATCCGAAACTCTGTAGTCCGACATCCGGTCCGACACTGTGGTCGCACAAATCACCAATTTATTGAAATTGGCGGTACGAAGCGTGCATTCCCCAACAACGCAGGCCCCTATACGGCACTACTCCAAGACCGTCGCCGAGGTCGACTTTACCTTGAATAAGTCCCCACTTCGATCCCTCATAAAAATTCGATTTCTTTAAAGATTAGCCGTTACTTGAGTTCGCCTCTTTTTCTTTCCTGTTCCTCTATTTTTTCCCCTGATTTTCGATAGATCGATGGGCCAGTTATCCGGGTAGTCGTCGCACTGTGGTGGCATTATCGTCACTTTTCACATGCTCGTATGGGGTATATCGCTGCACCTTGCCCAAAGCAGCAGGCAGGTTTCTTGGGTTAAGAACGTTGAACACAGCATCAATTTTTCGGATCCTAAACCTCACACCTTCTTCGACTATGGCGACGATGACTTCAGTCAAGGAGGACAGCGGCGACGCCCGCTTGCCCACGGGGGTGACGTTTGCCGGGGAGACGTTTAAAGTACCCCCGACGCACGACATGGTGAAGACGCTATTTGACCCTACTGTCCGCAAATCGTACTTGGAGATCGCGGTGGTGACGGCGTTAATGGCCAACTTATTGGTATTTTTGATCCCCGATAACCATGTGCGGATCGGCATTTTCATTGTCCTTTACATCGTGTGGCGATTGGGCTACAATTTCGGCATTGGCTACCTTCTCTACCAACAACTGAACTTCAACCGGTTGGTGGAGTGGGCGCGGTCCTGGGGGCTTTTCAAGCAGTCGTCGCCGGTGGGACGCTTTTCTCGAGCCGAAGTCAAGGCGCAACGAGGCGCCGGCTACAACCCCGACGCCTACCCGTTGGAATTCAACACCTGGCTTATCTTCCGCAAAGTCGTCGACTTGATCTTGATGAGTGACTTTACCGCGTTTATGTGCATCGTCTACACCTGTGCCACCGACAACGGCAACCAGTTCCTCCACGGCCAGCCGAGCTGGGTGGTGGCGACGCGGTTGGTGGTGGGGTCGTTGATGGTGTTGTTCAACTTGTGGGTGAAAGTGAACGCCCACAACACCATCAAAGACTACGCCTGGTACTGGGGGGACTTCTTCTTCCGCCAGATCAACAACGAGGACCTCATCTTCGACGGGGTGTTTGAAATGGTGCCCCACCCCATGTACTCTGTAGGCTACATTGGCTACTACGGGTTTGCCCTCATCGCCAAGCTGTACACGGTGTTGTGCGTAGCCATCTTCGGCCACTTCTTGCAAATGATCTTCTTGCACTACATTGAAAACCCTCACATCGACAAGATTTACGGTCCTCTGGTGGATGAGCTCAACCTGGTGCGGGTGCAAAAGCTCCGTGACCTCCGTCTGTTCGACAACATGAAGCCGATGGTGGGGTTGGCCAACTTCAACTGGTTGCGGGCGCTGGACGTGGCCAACATGGTGTTGGCGATCACCTACGGGGTGGTGTTGCCCGTGGTGGTGTCGGCGCTGGTGCTGCTGCTGTCAGCGGCGCTGCGCGGCGTCTACGTATTGTTCTGGGTGGCCGTCGTCGCCAAAGTGTTGGAACTGGTGCTGATTGATGTGTTGCTTGTGTTGCAACTGCTGTACAAGTACTTGACTAAATGGTGTCTCTCAATGGACATGCCGGCAGAAAAGGCGTTGAACAACTGGGCCATCTTATACAACACTTTGATCAACATGACCTACACCCTGTTGTTCGGTTACAACCTCTTGCATGCTCTCTCTGGTACTAGCGACTACTTCTTCAGTGACTACCCTTACCTCCGTTACTTTTTGGGAACTCTCCTCATCTTGACCCAAACCTGGATCAACCAGCTGATTGTGCTGCTGATCGGGTACTTTGGTTGGTTCTACGGTGACTTCTTTGTGCCGCGGTCGCAACGGGCCACCCACTTGACTAAGGCCGGTGTCTACCGTTATCTTAACAACCCGGAGCAGATCTTTGGCGTGTGCGGGGTCATGGGGGTGTTCATCATGTTCCCCACCACCGAAAACATGTTCTTGCTGTTGCTTTGGGTGGTTAACAACTTCGTTCGGTTCAACTTCATCGAAAAGTCTCACATGATCAAGCTCTATGGCGAACAGGAAGTGCTTAAGGACTCTGGTGTCACCAAGACGTTCAAGAAGCACTTGATCCCTGATGCCCTTCTGCGGAGATTGTCCAATGATCAAGAAGGTCGCCACCACCACCACTCGCCGCGGCCGCTGATTACCGAAACCTTAGACCTGATCATTCGCGAATTAAAGGAAACCAACCATAAAGTGTCGCAGCAAAAGATTAAGGAGCTCTCGCAGCTGCTTAAGTTTGAGAACCTGGAATACTCCATTGCTATCCATGGCCTCAGCCAAGGCCAACAGGGAACCGACTACTTGCCTAACTACACTTACGTCGGCAGCCCGATTCGGGTGCTGTGGAAGAGTCCCGTCGAAGGCCACCACCCGAAGGACTGGATCGGGTTGTACCGCATTGTCCAGACCCTGTACCTGCGGAGTAAGACCCTCTTGTCGTCGCACGGTAGATGGCACTTTTGCCCCACTGCTACTGGTGACATGGAGTTTGCAGGCGATCAGCTCTTCTGGGAAGAAGGCATGTACGAGTTCCGCTACCATCTCGACGGCAAGCACGAAGTGGCTTACATCTCGGAGCCGTTTGAAATCAAGGTCCCCAAACTCACCGTGCCCACCCACGCCGACGACACCGAGCAGTTTGCTCACCAGTTGCGCGACCAGTTGTTTGCCAACTTGTTTGGCCCTCTGTTCGGCATCGACGACCTGGTGGCGCTGTTCGCGTGCCACACGTCCAACATGGTCGAGGTGTACCAGCGGGTAGCGTACTTGCTCTTGAAGCTGACCGACATCAAGCTTCACACCCGGGTACTTGCTAACGACGACCAGGTCACCATCCGCTCGTTGGCCGGTAAGCTCATCAACATCCACAGTGTGTTGGACGAATTGCTGTGCTCCGTCACCAAGAAAACCCAGTAGACACCCCACCGTCTCCTGTTGTTATTTAAAATATTATTATTATATATACATAGTTTGAGGGGCTTGCCCCCGTTTTAGCCGTCTATCATGATAAATAACCCTCTTCGTAGTCTATAACCCCCTCTCCTAGTCTCATCACCACCGCGCCAACGCATCCTTGGTCAGGTCGTACACGAGCCACAGCACCGCCATCAGCGGCACGATCTTGTACAAATTCGCCGTCAACCCCTTGTAGGCTCCAAAAAATCCTTCCTGAGTGAACATCAGGTAGAGGGCATGGCCAACACTGCGGTACTGGAAGCCAAGCTCACCGCCAGCCATCAGCGCTACTTGGTACCGCTTCCGCAACACATCCAACGGGTAAATCAACACCCCGCCGACAAACGAGGCAAACGCCCCGGCACTAAGCTTCCACACCGGGTTCAGGTAGTCGCGCGGCAGCGTGTCCATATACTCACGGAGCCGTTCATAGATGGCAAAGTTGATGGCCACGTAGGGCGCCACCCCTAAAGTAGTGGGGACGATGCCTCGGTATAATCCTCTGATACCGCCTTCGTGGTTATACACCTCTTTAAGCGTACCCCATACCAGGGGCGGCTTCGCCAATTTACCTTTGTGGAGCTTGGCGAGATTAGCCGTTTGTACGGTAATTCTCGCTCGCACAAGGTCCAAGGGGTAGGTGACTGCCACCGATACCACGCCGGCAATCAGCCCCAGCGCAAGTCTTTCCACCACATTCAATTGGTCGGCAGGACCCTTAAGTCCAGTAAGCGACCGGTTGGCAATAAGCCAATGCTTACACTTTTCAAAACAGGCAAATTGCACCGCCGAGTAAGGGAAGATCCGCACACAGTTGAGGGTGTTCCCGCGGAACCAACCTCTCCACCCTTCGTCTCGGTACATCTTTAGGATGGTGGCAAACATCCCTTGGTACGCCTGGTTGCCGGCGCCAGGGCCCTGGAGCTGGAGAAGAATCTTAGCCCGCTCAAACGGCGACACGACCGTACGCAGGGCCACCCCGGCGATGCCCCCGGCGATGAGCAGCGCGTTCAGGTCCTCCTTGACAAAGTGCTTGAACCGCGAGTACACGTCGGACGCTTGGGGCTCCAATCTGAGCGTAGCGTCCATAACCCGGGTTATTGTTGATGGTGTGTAGGTGCAAAATGAGCGTGTCATGTGCGATATCGCACCCGATCCGGTGCGGCCCCGGTCATCGGCCTACCCCGGGATAGCGCAGTTTTACAAAGAAATAGGCAATCTCGTATAAGTCTAGAAAATCAGATATCTTTATCATGTCCAATAGTAGCAAAATTCTTAAATGCGATCGAGTTTGACTCGAAACAGAGCGAGGGAGACGGAGACATCGGCTCAAATTGGGTGCGATGACTACAGGGATGACCAGACAATGTGCGCTATTATTTACGCGTCAACCAGTAGAAGAAAATATTCAAAATGATTTTTGTTGAATATATAACGTGTTATTTGATTTAAATCTTTCATAGGAGTTCGTTTTGATTCTGTCGTAGTTGAATCATTAATGTCAATTAAGTTAGAGGTGGGTATTCGGACAGGGCTCAAAATAAGATAACACTGCGGGGCGTGCCCCGCGTTATAGTCTTGGCAAATTTGTAACTGGTCTTCAGATTAGAGCGAGCCCCGGCTATTCGCTTGCACTAAACTCCACTCACCACCATTTCTATACTTATTTGAACCACTAATTTCATTTCATTTGAAAAAGTAAAACATGGTTTCATCGGGTGACGCCACAGCGGCGGAGGTCGCCGAAACGAAAATGCAACCCTTTTAAGCGCATACCTCTCTCCACTTGCCACACACATGCAAATTCACGTCTACTCAATCATTATAACGACAGTTCTATAAATTGTTCCTAAATAGCCAGTACGACCAAGCCCATCACCGCTGCCATAATCAACAGCGGAGCCAGTATCGACCCGCTGCTCTGCTTATCTTTGCCATCCTTAGTAGAGGCATCACTAGACGACGCCAGGGCAGAGGGTGCAGCTGAGCTCGATTCCAGTGTCAGCGCGGCTTTCGATTCTCCAAAGATCTCCACATCAGAATCACTCAGTGACTTGTACTGGGCAATCGACACCTTTTTTGCTCCCGCATCGTAGACTGCGTACACTGACCGTAAAGTTTCCGGACCCACGTATACGTCCTTTTTGTTACCTTTCATGCCTTGAATGTTCACATCACATGTGCCGTTGTCATTTTTCTTTTGAAGCGATTTATACGGCACATTGATCTTGGTGATACCGAAGTCAAGCACCAACTTGATTTCGTCGTCACTCACACAATCGGCAGTGTTGGTAGTGGTATTAATATTGAGCTTCGCTGCCAACGTTTGGTAAATGTCGTCAGGAAGGGCCATATCGGCAACGTCACCATAGTTGTATGATATACTGAGAGTGAGGTTTGACTCAGTAGAGATTGTTTCCGACCCACCGTCGTCAAGAGCCACTGCCTTGAGTGCCACCTGACCTAGCACGTCAGACCGAACAAACCGACTCAGATAATTCGACAGCGGCGAGTATTGCTCAATGTCCAAATCGGCTAAATCGCCTACGTATTTGGCATGGTCCACCCCTCCAAACACAAACCGCCACTTATCGTCATCAGAATGTAACGAGTACTTGGGTTCATTGATAGTCCCTTCGTCTAATAAGTACCCCAAGAACCAATTATTTGAAAGGTCGTCGTCATCGGAAGAACTTTGATTCCACAATCCATATCCAAGCGACAGCGTCGCATACAGATAGTTCTGCAAATTCATCGGCACATTCGACAAAACTGTGTCGCCAAGACCAAGGTTGTCCTTGATGAACAGTACCCCGGTATCCACTGAGTTCACTACCACTTCGCGTTGCTGCCACAGATTTTTACAATCACCCACACAATCCAGTAACGCCAGCGTTTGCTTGATGGTAACGGTATTCAGGTTGGGAGCACAAATGAGAGTGACATTATCTTGGGAAGCTCCCAATTGAGTGTCAACTCTGAGCACTTGATTTACAAGATGCTCGCTGTGATATGCGGGAACAATAAGTCCCAGAGCAGCCATCGCCACTGACACCAACAACGGGAAAGCCAACATCGATTGAAAAATTAGCTGAAAGCAATAAAAAGATTTTCCACAAGATATATACTGGTCTAAATACCCAATAGCGGTGGGCCTTGACCTGATACAAATATCTGGCGTGTCGGTGCGGCGACGTGCGTCAAGTGCCTGCGTTCAGGTGCGAGTGGTGCATAGGATCCGTAAACAGACGATTTAGACGTGGCTAGAACGAGACATTATCGCCCCAAAACGGCAGCGACGAACCGGAAAAAGCCTAATTAGTTGACACCCCTGAAATCTTCACACCCAATCTCACTCTTTTGTGTCGTTTTTTGTAACGGTTATGTCACTTCACTATGTACATGATTTACGCGTCTCTATGTTTGTTATTCAACCACATCGATGTGGTAGTTGGCCAATGTGGTGGCCGGAAGCGGCGTCGGCGTTTCCACCACTGGGTCCACTCCGGATTGATTCTTAGGGAAGGCAATGACGTCTCGAATCAGCGACAGGCCGATCACCATCGCACACAAACGGTCGAGACCAATGGCGAGCCCAGCGTGCGGCGGACACCCCATGCTGAGCGCTTGAAGCAAGTGGCCGAACAAGTCACGGTAGTTGTTGATGCCAAGCACGTTCTCAAACACGTACTGCTGGAGCGCCGGGTCGTGGATTCTGCGCGACCCACCACCAAGTTCGACGCCATTAACCACTAAGTCGTAGTGTTCGCCATGGACTTTCAACGGATCAACCGCAAGCAAGTCGTAGTCGTCGACGCGGGGCATAGTGAATGGGTGGTGGGTGCTGGTGAACCGGGTGAAGTCGTATTTTGGATACTCGCCATCACTTTCTTCGGCTTCTACTGGATTGAAGAGGGGGAACTCAACAACCCACGCTCCGACGCAAATGTCAGCAGAAGCATCAACAATAGTACCATCGTCTTCAACTATTTGACGTCGCCATTGGTCAGGGTAAGCTTCAATGGCTAATTGGCGAAACTTACCGAGGGGGGTAGGGTTTTCGTAACTGAGGTCAGCGCGGGTACTAATGGCGACCACATCCCCCGGTTCGGCGCCAACTAGTTTGGTGAAAGTTTCCGGATCGAATTCAGTGGTCGTGGTGAACGCTTTGTCCACAAGCCCCTGCCACCACTTGTTGTCTTGTACCCTAACCACGTAAGGCTTGCGCTTAGAGTAATTGCCAGCATCAGTAAGTTTCTTCAGTGGTTTACCCACTCCCTTGAGCACACATGCTTCCACCACAGGAAATTGAGGGTTCAAACCACGCAATTGAGAACTGAGGTCAACGAATGTAAGCGATGACCGCAAATCGGGTTTGTCAATACCATATTGGCGAAGAGCATCTCTATAGGTTAATTGATTGAAGTGGTCGCCAGGTTTGACCTTTTCTAATAGTCCCTGAGCGTTCATGCGGTAGGTGTGAGCTCCCTTGACCTTGTTCCACACTGCATTCACCATATCCTCCACCACTGTTTGTACCTGAGCTGCGTCACTAATATAGGCCATTTCCAAATCGACCTGAGTAAATTCAGGCTGACGATCGGCACGAAGATCTTCATCACGAAAACAACGAGCAATTTGGAAATACTTATACACCCCTGAGCTCATCAAAATCTGTTTATATTGCTGTGGCGATTGTGGAAGAGCGTAGAACTTAGACGGCAGGCGGGTAGGTACAATAAACTCACGAGCACCCTCTGGTGTCAGCTTGAACAATAATGGAGTCTCTACCTCAGTGAAATCGTGGTCATTGATGAGTACATCGCGAATGGTGGAGGTTACCTTCAGTCTCGTCTTCAACGCCTCACTGAAGTATTTAGTTCGAAGCTGGAGGTATCTGAACTGAGGCGGTAAGTCTTTAGGTGATGTGTGCTTGAGTTTGTCAAGTCGAGCCGCATCAAGATTAGCCGGATTGAGTACCTGGTATCGGTCAACGTGAAGTTCCCATTGGTCGGTCCCAGGCTTTGGAAGTACGGTACCCGTAACCGAAACACAATCTTCAGAGGTAGCATTCACCGCATCCTGAAATACAAGCTGAACAGTGTCGCCATTGGTGTCTCGGAGCTCGGCAAACAGCTTCGTGGCGCGATTGCGGGGTTTGCGATTGAGATGGCCCTGAAGGGTTAACTGGGTATGATGGTGTTCTGGTTCGATATCTCGGATAACATGACTTGCCACGGGAAATTGGAACTTGGCTATTGTCGACGCCCGCTCGGGGAGGCTCAGGAGCTGGCGTAACCACCGCATTGTCGACCGCGTGCGATGAGATCTACACATCACGGACTCTTCAACGTATAATGCTGTTGCAGGATATAGAATGGTGGGTTGAAGGTTAGAGTTTCATGTGATGGCTACGCATCAAATATGTGAGGAGAACTTGTGAAATAGCTGTATATTGGTTCGGTGATGGAACCACTAAGGTGAGGACGAAAGCAAAGAGATGAGATAACAAAATGAAAATTACAAATCTTTAAGGCGTTTAACCCATTGCCAAGTGGCAACGAAAGGGTTCTTGCGTCGAACTTTGCGGGTGACCGGCTGAAATTCGGGTTGGTGGTGCCATTTGGAATTGCCTCCACCATATCCGTCGTGAAGCCCCTGTTGAAACGACTGTTCCCACCTCGAGTCGACGTGGCTATTACCGGGTGCCAAGACTTCATAAATCGCCGTGGCAATGGCGTTGTCGCTGTTGATCACGCTGGCGTCGTCGTCAACGTCGTTCCCCAAATCCAAATCTCTAGATAATGCCAGCACGCGTACATCTAACTGGCGTAATTCCAGAAGTATCGTTTCCAAGAGAAGACTCGTGCGGTCGTCGTTGCGGGGGTTAGCAATGTGGCTTCGATCGGGGTCCTGTTGTAAAACAGTCACCTCCCGACGAGGACCTTTTGCAAAGCGAGGCAGAGGTGATGAAGGAGAATCATAGATCAACTCCCATACTCCTCGCATGGGAGAGCGGTGGCGTTGTTTGGGCAGAGTAGAGAAAACTGGCGTGTGAAGAATAGGGTGGTTAGGAGGGAAACACGAGCTAGAAGCGCTAGGAGGAGGTGTACCATAGCCATGAGTAGCAGTGGTATCAATTGAAGACTTGGCCACTCGAGGATCTTCGAGATCAAGCTGAGAGGGTTGTTGGGACAACATAGTGAAATGAATACACTGTTTGTTAATGCGCGCATTTATATACTATGGGTGTGCTTTAGGCTGTTTGGCCGACTTCACCAATGGTATCACTTTTTGACGGCTACTCTGGGTAGATCTCATGTACAGGGGTACCGAAGTTGTGGAGATGTTGATCTGGGGAGGGACACTTTGAGTTGATGTAGGATCGAGATGCTCGGCGTGGCGTAGATTGTGTCTGTAGTATGTAGCCGTTGGTCTTTCAGGGGTTTTCGGTTCTTCGGAATTAGGTGTGGTAGGAGTTGGAGATTTGGGAATTGAGGTATATGACATAAGGAATAGATCTGGTGAGTGAAAGATTAATGTCGTCTAAGATGTGGGTTTAGTGTGGTCGGGAATGTGGTGCAGGACAATCGGTCCCACCCCCCGCGATCTGCAACAATTCGAGATCAGTGAGATACAGCGCTAGTTCGAGAGGAGAGATATATCGGCATTGCAGTATTAGTTTAGCTGAGGCGTTAAACCAGAATATCTTGGAATAATCTAGTCTATAATGATAGTTTCAGTAAGTATCATTTTGTTTGTAATCTTGAGCATATTCGGCAATTGTTTGGGGCTTTGCCTGACGCGGCGCGATGAACACTCATAGTTACACTACTCCCCGCCGTTACTTTTACGGACAAATTTTACAACGAGATGAAGTGTATTTCAATTTCTCACCAGTTGATTTGATTCAATTGAAACAAGTATCAAGCGACATTTAAAGTAGTCGAGCTTGGCAAGCGTTTAAATCAATGATTTAAGGCAACATCCTACAATAAGCTTTCTAATAGTTCTGATAGTCAAAAACGTGATGAACAAAACATCACTTTGAAATTGCTTTTGCTAGTTCAAGCTTGGGACTCTAAGTTTTTCACCTTCACGTCACTATCTCCGCGAAGAATTCAAGCCGCACGCGTTTATCGTCAGGGCAATGAGCGACAACCCCAAAGAGCTCAGTACCAAGTACAAGCGTGCCGGGCTCTTTGATCAGCAAAGGCGGCTACTTCTTGACAATTTTCGAGAACTGGAAACCCATGCCAATCTTTTGCTCAAGCTCAAGCTTCTTATCGAGGCCAAGGTGAAGGATGATCCACTGATACTCATGAAGAATAAAGGCAAGATGGCGGCACTTATACAAGGGGAAATCATCAATCAACACAACGCCGAGACCAAAGGTAGACAGAACGACGTTCCCCCCAGTCTACTATCCATTGTTGACCGTGATCTTCGCGAGAAGATCATCGACCTGCCTGAATTTCAACATCAATTACGCATGGAACTTAAGGACATACAACGCAAGATGCTTGGGGTGAGTGACGAGGATTATCAGGCTCAGCTCAAGCAAGAAGAAGAAGAGGCAGCTCGCCGAGCTAAGGAGGCTCAAGAGCAGGAAGAACGCCGACGTCGAGAACGAGCGGAATTAGACCGCGCTGAAGAGCGTAAGTGGAAAGAAAAACATGCACGCAACTTTAGCAACAGTCGTCACCGAGTGATGAAGCCTCCTCGAATAAATCTCCTGGGAATTAGACGTGAACGAGACAGATATGAACCAAAAAGTCGCTCTGAGAGTGGGCTTTCCAGCCGAGACAGAGACGATAGTCGGGGTAGAGGGAACCTTCGCAGTAAAGACGATGGCCGCGGTAGAGACAATGGTCGTGGTAGAGACAATGGTCGTGGCGGCGGTGCTGATCCCCGCGACTTCGACCGCAACAAGTCGAAGAAGAACTTTATGATGTATTAATGAGATTTTGATTAGGCTTCTTTTTGCACATTTGCATATGCCAGTGCCGTATTATTCCTGCTAACTGGAACTCACGACGGCGTCTGTAGCCCTCTTCCCCCAATGCTTTGACAGTTTGAACCCTCTTGAGCTTAGAATGCCATCGACAAAGCATTGTGTGCATAGCGTGTAATTTGTTCAAGTATACCGGTACCACGGCAGCTTGGATGGGCGTTGTCGGCTTTTCTAACAAAAACCTATTGGTAATTTTCAAGAATAGTGACTTTTTCGTGCACCATGGCAATGCCGGATTCTTTAGAGGGGGAAACTGTATAATCAATTGATGGATAATCTCTGCGTCTTCGGGGTATTCAGTGACCTCTTCTTTCATCAATTGTAAGTAGATCTGTATTAAGCGGGGGAGGTGAGGGCTGGCAGTGGAAGCGTATTGAGATTGGTACCACGTTATCGCCCACACCAACTGAAGTTGTTCAAACGCGTCCGGAAGAATTTCACCTGAAACCATTGGAAACGGAAGTGATATTTGGAGGCCCTCATTTGATTAATTAATGCTTTTGGCTTTATGAATATTCTTCATCCCACTGTTTCACATCTCGTACGGTGAATTTCCACGAGACGTCACCGCGCGTGTTCGCTCTCAATAACAATCTGACTACGATCCCCGTCTGAAGCCCCATCACTTCCGTCCCCACACCCCTGGCGCTACCGATGGGCAAGCTCCAGCTCAAAGGCTCGAGCAAAATTGTTGCCGACTACTTTGAATTTGCCATCAATACCATCCTTTTCCAGCGAGGCATCTATCCGCAAGAAGATTTCATTTCGGTCCGCAAGTACGGCCTCTCGGTGGTAGTGTCTGATGATGACGAAGTCAAGCAATACATTGCCAAGATCATGCACCAGCTTAAACGATGGGTGTACTCAAAAAAGATGAGCAAGCTCGTGGTGGCAATCATCCTGAAATCTCTGGGTGAGACTCACGAGCGGTGGGAGTTTGACCTCGACGTGACGAGCGACGATGACGATGTCGACGTCAGACCAATCAGCGAAGTCCAGCGAGATATACAAGCTATCGTTCGCCAGATCACTTCAAGTGTCAGTTTCCTCCCCGTGCTAGATAATGATGACTACACATTCAACGTTCTCACCTACACGGCACAAAATATCCCCGTTCCCCTCGACTGGGCCGATGCCAAGGACCCTGCCGTTGACGGCAAGGCCGAGAATGTCGACTTTTGTGGATTTGATACCAACCTCCATCACGTAGGAACAAAAGTGGTGTATAAACTTCGCGATTAGACTTAGCATTACCATAAATTACCTATTATACGTATATACTTTGATTTAATGGGGGGAGGGTGTCCGATCGCCGTCACCATACCACAGCGGCGTACCCCTCAGTTCGTCTTCGTACCGAGACCGTGATGAATCGCGGCGGTCATCGCGGCGGTCGTCACGGCGATCATCACGACGGTCGTCTTCATATCTCCGTTTCGGTGGATGCTCCAGGTATCCGTCGTCTTCATATCTTCTCTTTGGAGGATACCTTGTGTTCTCGCGAGAGTCTCGAGGTTCACGAGGCTCACGGAAATCGCGAGGTTCCCGGGGTTCCCGGGGATAACGAGAGTTATTTGAGGGGTAACGAGGATTCTCCAGCGAATAGCGAGACTTTTCCGGATAATCACCACGGGGATCGCCCCGAGGATCGCCCCGAGGATCGCGGAAACGCGGTTGCTTGGGGCCTCGAGGAGGCGGCCGCAGGTCACGAGGACCGAGAGGAGGTTTCGAAGGACCGGTGGGGGGTCTGGAAGGACCCGAAGGAGCTGCCTTCGCCGGGCCCAGCGGTGGGGCACCTGGATCACCAGTCCGGGGAGACGGTTCAGACGACCCTTCTTCAGCGGAACGCTGCTGCTCTTCCTCTGCCTTCTTGGCTAATCTCTCTTTTTGAGCGATGAAGTGGCGCTCATGGTTGAATCGCTTACGTTTGTTACCCATGAGGAAACGTGCACAACCCTTCACCCCAATCAGGTAATCGAAATTTGTAAGATAGGGATCGTCTTCCAACAGCTCCTTAGTCAGACACGAGAATTGATCAAGAACATCCAAATCATTGAGTTTCTGCTTCAACGCCATGAACTTAAACACCTGCTCCTTGCCTGTCTCAGCGTCAATGGCTGGCATGTACTTTGAGAGAATGGAGTAGTTCATTTGGTTGACGTAGTAGTCCAAAATGTAGAGAATGGCTTCCGATACCAAAAGCTGGGGACAACAGAAGTCTTCCGAGTTCAAATTGTCTAAAATGTCATCGTAGTTGCGCACAGCCGGTGTAGCCACCTGGTGCAGCGTCATTACTTCCTGGGGATTGATGTAAAGGGTAATGGTGATGATGGCAATGGCGATGCAGTGGGCGGGGATCGTCAACGGAAGCGGTGTCAGGATGATATCAAATGCCACCAACCAGGCGTAAAACAGGCCTTTGTAATCAACCCCTAACTGTTTGCAGAACTGAGTAACCAACACATCCAACAGCTCAAACGGCAGCCCGTTATTCAAGTCGAATTTGGTTATATGTAACAATTTGAACTCGATAGCCATAATGGCCCGTCTTTGCCGGTCTAAATTGCGTTCTTCATTGAAGCTTTCCTGCTCCCGAATCCGGTTCGACACTTGCTGGATCTCTTTTAGCTTTTTGATACATTCTTCATTTTTCGTCGCCAAAAAGAGACACGCCATCGCCACCACAAACGGGTCTTTCTCCATATCCTTGATGAGATCAAAGTCACTCAGTTGAAGCAGGGTCAGGTTTTTGTTCATGTGGGCAGTAACGATGTCGCCGGGGTTCATATCTTCAAACCGGTTGAACAAGAAGAACCTCTGGAAGTAGTTCATCGTAGTTCCAAGCACCCTGAGGGGAAACTTGAAGTGTCTCACCACCTGAAACACAAACTGGTATACCAGATGCTTGCGCTGGTTGTAGATGAGCTTTTTGCTGTCGGAGATGGTTTGACTGTGAAGGTGCAGAATCTCGTTCGGCGTCAAAAACGGACGCGCCAACTGGAGGATGATCGCCTGGTCGGGCTTGATCTCCCTCGGGTCCTTCGCCTCCCTCAGCTCCTTGCTGTCCCGGCCATCTCGCGCCACCGGTTCTCGAGAGTCAGTCATGGTCGTCAGTCGCACTCAAACGCTCGACCGCGATGATCAACACATACCCCATAGCGAAGTACATCCACAAGCAACGTGCCTTACCTGTTTGACTTGGATTTAGTTGACACTAGGGCAATAAATGTGAACTGGTTGCAATTGCCAGTTTCTCCCATTCGATTCAGTGTGAGCGATTGACTCGTGCTCGTTTTGTGTTGACTCCAGGCACACGCCATGTTTACTGTATTCAATCACTTCAACAACAAAAGCAAGCATCAGACCACACTACCTACACTACAGTACTGACTTTCCCTATTAAAAATTTCTAGGCAAAGTGGCGAAGATTGTTGAAAACATGTATTTATCAATTCCCCAATTGATATTACGGTAGTGTGACCGTCTATGAAGTTCCCCAACCCCATAGATGGCCAACACCATAGTTGATAGATATTAAAAGCAAAGTAAAACACATATAAAAACCCTCACGTCACCATTATTTCCAAATTATAGGCAATAGATATATTCAACAGACAAACACAAACGAACAAGCAACCGTAGAGACCAAGACATGTTCATGTCGTCTAGAATCTCCGGTTAGCCTTACGACTCTTCAAGTACTTGTGCAAAATGGTACCGAAAATGGCACACCCAGCACAGAAGAGCAACACGAATACCAAAATCACACCGGCGGGGAACATCGTCTATCACCGGGCTATAGAGGATCAACGTTACCTTTTATATGACTAATTTGGTTACGAGTCACCGTCGTGACCAACCCTAGCTTTGTGATGTCCACTGTAGGACAAAACCCAAATGACCACCCGTTGCAACAGCTTCACGTGGCTCCGGAAATTCCTAGAAATGCTACGGCAAACAAGGTATGTGTATGGATAGCTAAGGGGCAGTTAAGAGGTTGGAATCTCATCCTTGACCTTCGAAGCTTTGGCGCCAATATTGCCGTGTGACGTCAAGTTTACGGTAAACTAGCATGTTTTGAGCGATGGTTGCTAGGGGACGGTATTGCCGGTAAAATTTGGTTTGCGGTTTCGGGTGGTTTGTGGCCGATATCCTGACGGCCCCATTAACTATTCCCGAAACTTTGCCACCCGCCGTTCCGTGTTAGTTGCCACCACCTTCGGGTTAGGGACAGTGTTGACTTTTAAGTAAGGCACGCGGCCGTATCTGGTTTTTGTCAAATGCAACGATATTTGCGCCCGCTAGGTGAATGAATACTAATATCCACGGGACTCGGCTCCAGTCAAATTATATCGCTCAACTACACTCTCCACAAAAACTTCGTTAGGCCTCTTCCTCAAAAGCGACCTCTCCTGCCATCGCTTCACGCTCATCGCTCGCTATAGGCGCACCGCCAAATGCCAGGGTCGTGTGGGCAAGGTCCGTGCGCGATCAAGCACTCCTGGCAGGCGCCACGTTCGGAAATAATCCCCAATTTCCGCTCCGCCACCTCATAGTGAAGCTGAGGCATGAATATCAAGGTAAACATAAATACATCACTTTAGCTCTACTCGTGCCTCAAACCTAGTCGCCACAAAAACCTCTTTGATTGTCTTTTCCACTCGCCAAACACCAGGGCGGGTTTATTTGCAAGCGTCGCGTGTAATCAGCCTTTCCAAGATTTTCGCACCTGATAGAGAACACATCATGATCAGAACCCAGAAGTGGATGGCGCTTTTGACGGGGTTGGTGGTGTTGGGGACCCTCATGGTGTTGTTACGGGATAATAACCGTCCGTTTATCCCCAACACCACCCCGTTCAACCCGGGGTCGGCGGTAAACGCCGGCAACGCCAACGTGGCTCGGCCACCGGCGGCGCCCTCGGCCGCCAACACCGGGGCGGAAAAGGTCAACGAAGAGCTCAAACAGGGCGTGGATAACGTCGACGAAGGCAAAAAGGTGGCCGAAGCCATCGCTGATGCCGAAAACAAGCCGGCGCTGCCATCGAAGCTGCCAGAAAAGGCGCTTGAAGACGCCGAGAGAGCTCAAGAACAGGGCGATAAGGTGCCGGCAAACGTCGTCGGTGATGCCGAGAGCAAGAAGCCCGACTTGACACAAATGGCAGGGTCTACCGGGGCTCTCAAGTACTTCAAGCTCGTGCAAGACCCCGACAACCAGCCCACCGATGGTAAGGTGAGAGGGGCGTTCGTCACCCTTGCGAGAAATCTGGATTTGTATTCGCTTATCACTTCAATTAAGGGTGTGGAAGACCGGTTCAACCACCGCTACCACTACGACTGGGTATTCTTGAACGACGAAGAGTTCAGTGACGAATTCAAAAAGATCACCCTGGCCATCATCTCTGGTAAAACCAAGTATGGCGTCATTCCTAAGGAACACTGGCTGTACCCGACTTTCATTGACCAGCAAAAGGCCGCCGAAGTCAGACAACAGATGAAGGAAGACAAAATCATCTATGGTGATCTTGAGCTGTACCGTCACATGTGTCGTTTCGAGCTGGGTTTCTTCTGGCGCAATCCGTTGATGGATGAGTACGACTGGTACTGGCGTGTGGAACCCGACACCACCATCTACTGCGACTTGGAGTACGACTTGTTCAAGTACATGCAAGACAACAATAAGGTGTACGGGTTCACGATCTCGATCCACGAATTTGAAAAGACGATCAAGACTCTTTGGAAGACGCTGATGCTGTTTGTCAAAGAACACCCTGACTACATTGCTGACGACAACTCGATGGACTTCATCTCGGACAATAATGGCGAAACCTACAACTTGTGCCACTACTGGTCGAACTTCGAGATCGCTAACCTCAACTTCTGGAGACTGAAGCCTTATGTCGACTACTTTGAACATTTGGATAAGGCCGGTGGCTTCTTCTACGAACGGTGGGGTGACGCTCCTATTCACTCGATCGCGGCGTCGTTGTTTTTGCCTAAGGACAAGATCCACTATTTCGAGGATGTGGGCTACCGTCATGGGGTCTATACCCAATGTCCGGTCAACAGCGACTACCGGGCCAAGCACAAGTGCTACTGTGACCCAGCGAAGGACTTCACCTTTAAGGGCTACTCTTGTGGCAAAAAATGGCACGACGTCTTCGACTACCCCAAGATGAAAGGGTGGGAGGACTATCAATAGTAGACCACATAGTAAAAGCATTAATTTTCTTGCGTCATTCGTAGATTGGCGTTGCATTGTCCGCCTCGCGCCGGCGACAAAAGTAAACAATTATTTATAGCTAGCTTCCTCAGTGGTGCTGTGGAATGCATTTCAGAATGTCTACTAAATGTTTCACTATAATCTGTCAAACTTTAGCACAAAGCGACAGCAGCGAACGATCGGAACGAGATTGATCGTACGACGGCGTTGAGATTTCGGGCTAGCCCCCCTTCCGCGTGGGGGAACAATAGCGGCTGCAAACCTTCGTAAATGCGCAAGCCCTCAAATGAAACTGGGTTTTAGGGTGGGTAAGTCGTGGCACACTGGGCTTCATACGATTTGTACCTTCCTATTTTTGGGTGGTTTTAGTTGCTTTACGAGTATCATGGTTGCCGCTTTTAACTAATGACGCTGTTCCTTCGCCAGACATTTTAAGACGCGATTGGAAAGCGCGAGTGTCCGGAGGGGATACGTGTCCGATATCACACGCGATTTTATCTGCAGTACGCAACCCCGTGCCATGGGCGCGGTGTTCAGCGAAGGAATCGAGGTTTTTCACTTTCATCGCTCACCATGGTCAACCGCCTGAACGCCCGCATCGTGCGGTTTGGTATCTTTGCCGTGATCTTGATTGTGTGTGGGTACATTCTTCTGAGGGGCCTGTCCTACGACACGGTGGTGCCTCTGAACCGGGAAAGCGCCGCCCAAGCGGGATCGCAAAAGCAGACGCAACAGCTGGTGGTTGAAGCCAAGCCGAAGAAGAAGGGTAAGGTCAAGGCGACGTTTGTCACCCTTGCCCGCAACAAAGACTTGCATGGGCTCATGGACCTGATCCGCAGTGTTGAGGATCGGTTCAACAGCAAATACCACTACGACTGGGTGTTTTTGAACGACGACGACTTCAATGACGAATTCAAAAAGTACACGCTGAACTTGGTGCTGGGGCAAACCCACTACGGGAAGATCCCCACCGAGCAGTGGTCGTTCCCTGAATGGATCGACACCGCCAAGGCCGCCGCCGCCAGAAAGAAGATGGAGGAAGACAAAGTCATCTACGGGGGGTCGATCTCCTACCGTCACATGTGTCGGTATGAACTGGGTTTCTTTTTCCGCCACCCGTTGATGGATGAATACGAGTACTACTGGAGAGTCGAACCCGACATCAAGATCTTCTGCGACATTGACTACGATGTGTTCCAATTCATGAAGGACAACGACAAGGAGTACGGGTTCACCATCACCCTCCCCGAATACAAGGCCACCATTCCTACCCTCTGGGAGACTACTCAACGTTTCATCAAGGAGTTCCCGCAATACTTGCACAAGAACAACTTCATGAAGTGGGTGTCTGACGACGAAGGTGCCACCTACAACGGGTGCCACTTCTGGCTGAACTTCGAAGTGGGTTCGCTCAACTTCTGGAGATCTGAAGCGTACTTGAAGTACTTTGACTACTTGGACAAGGCCGGTGGGTTCTTCTACGAACGTTGGGGTGATGCTCCCGTCCACTCGATTGCGGTGTCGTTGTTCATGGACAAGTCGAAGATTCACTTCTTCGGCGACGTCGGGTACTTCCACAACCCCTTCCACCAATGTCCCTTCGACGAAGCGACGAGAATCAAGAAGAAGTGCGTGTGCAACCCGGAAAAGGACTTCACTTGGAAGGACTACTCGTGCACTGAGGAGTTCCACACTAAGCAAGGTTTGCCCAAGCCCCAAGGTTGGGAAGCGTTTTCTGGCTAGACTTTATATATGACAAATCACAAACATTTGGAAAGCTTAAACCCATTTTTTTTTTTCCCAATTTTTATCATTTAGGTATTGTCTCAGGTTATTCTACATCGCGGGAACCCCCGATAACTCTGCCATGTAAACGCCATGCACATACACACGCCACTCAGCATCGACGCTGTGGTCTCAAGCCGGCATGTAAACCCGCTTAGCCTAGCGCTCACTCATGTACAAGGCCCCCCTGCCGGACCAGTCAGCAGTTTGATTTACAGGCCATCACCATAGACAATCTAGGTACGATTTTTCACCAAGCGACACTGTACCATCGTCCATCGCGTAACCCCCGCCAAACGTTCGTTTGGGGATCGTCGGTGCCGATTTGGGGCCAGCAGAGCGTCCGCCTCGTGGCATTAAGGCAGCCTCACGCACGAAACATATCGCTGTGAAACACCCTGTACATAGGCGATCAAAACCACCCGACCACACCACCTAACTCAACAAATAAATTCCCTCCGCCACTCCTTTCAAGTTTAGCAGTGGATTTTTTTCGCTGGTGGTAGTGGACTGTGTTCGAACTCCCGTCATCTTTATCTCACCATTACTTCCCCGTCATTGAAATCACCGTCCCCTACTATGAGTGCTGATGTCCATACCCGTCTTCGGCGACGCCGTCCGCAAGTATTAGAAATACCAACGGCGAAAAACGCTGACCTAGCGCTTCGAATTGTGCTGCCAGGCCTCCCGCCGCTGGTGATCACCGAGAAATCATCACACACGCTCAAGATGTCTCAAGTGATCCAACGCCAGCAGCAGCAGATCATTGCCCTGATGAAGGAGGCTCAAGACGCTCAGACTACGGTGACTACCCCTCCTGACAAGGCGGTCAAAAACGAAGAGGATGATGACGATGACTCGGATTTGTCGGCACCTAAGCTTAACGTACTGGCGGCGTCCAGTGATACCCCCACTCTGGCCAGTAAACGGTTAAAGCGGGACAATGTACCTACCCCTCTTGACATTGGGTTGATCAACGATAAACTGGCGCGGCCGCTGATTCATCTGGCGCCGATCCGCCCGGCAATGAGCCGCGTGGGTGTACCACCTATGAGACGTCGCCCTCTCCCCCAGATACGCCGTGTCTACCGCCCGTTCCCCAACACCCACGTTACCTACCAAGCCTACCCTCAAGAGTATGCTGTGCCCTACGTGGCGGTGCCTCAATGGACGCCGTACCCACCGCTCTCAGCATACCCTTACCCTCACCCGGTAGCGGCTCGCAGACGGCATCGCCCGACGCCGATACCAGCCACGCCTAAGCATCAGGCTAAGTCGGGGAAAGTGACCGACGTCTACCACGGCGACTATACTCGCGCGGCGCCATTGCTGCTGCAACCGTTGCTGGCTCAACGGGAAGCGTTTGATCAGCGCCTGAGTCTGAAGCTTGAGGAAGACCGGATGCCAGTGCTGGAGGATGAGGTTAAGGAAATGCAAGCGAAATACGACCAGGGCAACGTCAGCAAGACTAATACCAGCGAGATTTTTGGCTCCATCAGCTTGATGGACGAGCTGGTATACAAATTTCGCATCTTCCGCAAGTCAACTCCAGAGCAACTAGAATCCGGTTTAGGGGGAAAAAAGGAGACTAGTGATGCCGTCGGAGCCGACGACGATAAGGTGACGAACCCGAGTGGGGCGAAAGATCACGAACTGGAAGCTGATTGGCTCCGCCTGGAAAAGGAAAAATTCCTCAAGATCTGTGAGACTCTGTGGGACACGTTTGTCGACAGCCGAACCAAGCATGCCGAAAAGTAGTAACTTCTTACCTTGACACTTTCTTGATTTCCTGGAACATATGCATTACTTGCCGTGATTGAAATACAGCTAGTTTTTGACCATATCATTAATACAAACTTCGAGAGACTTGATGTTAGAGAATTGCTGTCGCTGCGTCAAACTGCCAGAGTAACGCAAAACTAAATGCTATGCGGTAATTTACCTTGGTCGCCAAGATACATTGGTCTCTAGTCGTTTTAGTACCGAAAAAGGTGCAGTAAAGATATAATGAAGCAATTGTGGTCCAACGATGTTGATTTGTATTAGCAAGTGTGCCTGCGGTACAAACTGGTGGATGCAACTAAATAAACAACGTCACCGACTCTCAACTTGTCGAATAGTTAAGTAAGAGCAAAAAACTGCCATTCAGCTTGTTAGAAGCACATTCGTCGAAATTTCAGTCAATCGTAATGCTCTAAACATTTATGTATGTCACTGAGTTCGATCTTGTGTCATAGATCACAAAGCCAAGCCATACAACGTTAGCGATCTAGTATTTGGGGTTGTATATGAATGAAAATCATAGCTACCGATTGAGCTGGTTTTACCATTCAAGTATACAGTTCAATAAGTCTGGTGATGAATTGCTATTCATTATGTCGACTCCAAGAGACAAAAGCCGATATGACTTTTCGTGGTAAGCTATGAAAATTAGGCGTCCAGGTTTTCGTAAATTAGTGGGTTAAATTTACTATGCACAATAGAGAAGCCGAGTCAGAGTAACTCATACTTAGTAATCTAGTTTGATTTATTAGTTACATATTCTTACAGCCAGATAACCTCCCGCAGCTCGCATATTAACCGATTTTAAGCATGACTCGATCGTTCTGTCGCAAAAACTCTTGGAGATTGAAATTGATACGGTCAATTATCTCAAATGTCTGCGCATCAGGCAAGCGAATGTAAAGATGATTGAAAGGGACACGCTGCTTGATCAACAGTTTGAATTCATCTAAAGATGTTATAGCTCCTTTGTCAATTTTCAAAGCAATAATCTCGTTTTGATCGTTAACCACCTTGCACTTGATATACAAGTGGCGGTTACCACTTCCAGGAGTAGTGCCAGGAGTAGTTCCAGGAGTCGAGGCAAGCTGCAGGTTCTGATGCACAGGCAGCAGCAGCAGCAGCAGCAGCGTTGTCGTCAGCGTCAGACTTACACTCATATTCTTGAGTTTTCCCACCACGGGATTAACCGCGTTGGCATTAGGACTAAAGGGATTATTCAGTCCAAACTGTCCGGTAGCTCCCGCGGAGTTAATCACCGGTGACATATTGCCGTTGCTTTGTCCCCGAGGTTGGATTCTACCTCCGGTGTAGGGTTGCGATTGGGGACGCTGACCAGACAGAGTGAATGCTGAATTCTGAGGAAGCGGCGTCGAGTATGCTTGAGCGGCACCGCGAGACAGCGATTGTGCCTGAATTAGGTTTTGCGGCTGGGGCCGGTTCTGGGATGCAGGGTTAGGATACAGCGTTAAAGGGTCTATCGAATGCGGGTCATCAAGCTTCCGTTGTGACGGATAGCCTTGGGAAGGTGCTTGTGGTGGAGTTTGGAAAAACTGATTTTGCCCCGGTGGTTGGCTTGCTTGACTGGGAGGATTCCGGTGAGGCTTGAGTGGTTGGATGGGGGAGTCACTTTCAAGCGGATGGAATCGTGGTGCCAGTTGTGAAGGGGGCGTAGCCGTAGTTTTGCCTTGACCAGTATAGGGGTTATAGCTTTGATGAGGATCAGGAGAAAACACCAGACCTTCATTTTGGCTGGCTGGAAAGTACTGAGTGGCCTCAGGCGGGTGGCCGTGTACTTGAGGGTATACTTGCTGTTGCCCTTGAACGTGTTGTTCTCCAGGCCCTTGGTGATGGTGTTGCCCCTGGGCTTGCGGTATCTGAGGGGAATAATCTTCATCTTGATGAGGAAGAGGTGCCTGGGGCGGCGCTTGAGGATGTGCCTGGGGATACGGCAGTTGGTTGGGGAACGGAGGAGGGTTGGTCTGTTGGTTGGGCAATGGCGGAGGGTTGGCCTGTTGGCTGGGCAACTTAGGGCTTTTGGTAGGCCCTGCACTAGCAACTGGAGCAGGGTATGGCCCCAGCTGTTTCGATCGACTACCGCTGGTCAGCCTAGTGGTGCGGTTTCTCTCCAAAGTTGGGGGTGTAGGGTCGGGGTAATCTGTTCCCTGCGAAGGCGGATAGTTAGGCGGGGGCATGGCGCCGCCACCTTTACTTTTGGACCTCAGAAGCGCCAGGTCCAGACGGGTTGGAGTTGCTGATTGGGTGTACTGGGCGGCCTGCTGGTAATGGTTGTAGATATTCTTCAGCTTGGTTCGCTGAGGAGGTGCAGAATCCAGAGGGTTTTGCAGCTGGTACCGCTTAAGCAAGTCGGTGCTGCCAGGAAGCACTTTCTCGTTGATAACATCGTTTTCGAACGGCGTATCATCCTTCAGTTCAGTGAACCCAGGGCGGTTATCCGAGCTGGTGTTGATCCAATGACACAAAGCGTGGCTCATTTGGTAGTACTTATTCAGAATGAGCTTGTTGATGTAGCCATTAAGATCCTGGCACCGTTTCAACAAAAGGGGGATATCCTCATCCAGCGCCAGCTCAGCACCCAGTGGTATGGGTTCGGGAAGCTTAGGAAGGGCTATCGAGGCGTTCTTCCCACCGGCAATCTCCTCGGCGTGCTGCTGAAGACCCAATAAAGCAATGTGGAGGTTGTAAAAGTCTTGGTAGTAGCGGGCCAGGTACATCCTAATGCCATCGCTATACTCGACATCAAGACGGTACCATATACGCTGGTTGTAGAATAAGCAATTGGCGACACTGGCCAGCACGGGTATCGGGGCGTTGTTGACAGTCACTGGCGACTGGCCTTTTGTCTGGACATTGATGTAGTTGATATCACTGAGTATATCCTCTGGTACTTCATGGTTCAGCTGGGCCTGAAGCCAAGGGAGGGTAATGGGATGAACGACATCGTTGACGGCAATGTCGACGTAGGACGCGGGAACAAGTCCTGGGGTGCGTACTTTGTCGATGAACTTGACCAAAAGCCATCCGTCGCCAGGGCGGTCGAGGAGCTTGAGGATGTCACCTTTGGTCACCAGCAATTCGGCTTCTCCCTCGGCGACGAACAGGTATTTGGCGACGACGATAATGTTACCCCGCAACAGCCCCAGCACCGTGTGGTTCAGCTGAGGAGTCAGGATCTTCCCTCGGAGCGTCGTCGACATGGGGCGGTGGTGCTAGCCGTTTGGTGGGGAGGGGAGTAAACAGGGGGTGCGGCGGCACAGTACTGGGGTAGACAGTAGAAATTGGAGGCGCCACGGGTCACGGCGAGACAACAACGACGAGGTGGTTTGGCTCAGGGGCACAGCGTCGCAAAGGAGATTCGAGATAGGTACTTGGCAACGACCCCGGGGAACCGTAAGTAAATTTTCCTTTGCGCGGAGCGATTGATGTCGGGGAGTAAATTGGTGTGCGTCTCCCAAACCGCGCGCGGCCGTGTTTTCAGGGTTTTACGCGTGTCTTTCCTACAGGCTGATTCGAGGCGACTGAGAGATAAGGGGGTGTGTGGCTTTCCACCACACGAGTATTTTGCAAGGGACAGGGGCGGCTTTTGGAAGGGGTCGTTGTTTGAGTGACGAAATCTCGGGGCCCGCTGTGTTTTGCGCTCTGGGGTACGCGTACGTCGTCCCCTGCGGCGTGGCGTTTCACAATAATCAGCCTTCTCGCGGCTGGCAGGTCAGTGTTTTTTTTTCCTCTCGATTTGCCTGGGGTAGATTTTTTAGTCGCACCAAGAACCTTAACTAAGACGGATCGCCACCGGTTTAGGAAAGTCGGTGCCTGTGATCGAAGAAAAAGCAGTGTTTTGACCCCTGGTGATGGTAATGATGTAGACAATCGCGGAAAGATGATGTGCTGGTAAAGTGTTAGAGGCTGGAAGATAGAGGCGGTAGGCGGTGACCCGAAGGTTGAACATGGTACTGGAATGAAATACCATGCGTATCGACACGTTGAAACATTCTAGGGAATGCAGTACGAGCCCTGCCCTGAAAATTTCGAGGAGAGTCATCGGCGTGAACACCATGAACACTGGAATTAAAGAGGAAATGTACCCATCAAGCGAACCACTACTCACCACAAAATACGATGAGGTAGATTATAAGACGGGGGATTTGTAAGAATGGTTGCGTTTCTCTACGTTCGGCCATTTGTGCGGTGTATTCATCGACATCGTAATGCCAGTCCCCATCGCTGGTAATCCGAACGCTTAGAAAATCTCAATCTACCTCATCTCTTTTTTATATATTGCTGGTCCTGCATATATCTGTCACGTGTTAGATATTTGGTGAGACAGGAAGTTAGGGTCCAAAACATGGCGACAACTCAAGGTATAGAAACAATTTAATCAGCAATTGCTTCATGGGTTTCATAATTATTGCAAAGGGTATTTCAAACAAATCTCCCAGCTTGCAGTGAATCGATTTCACCGTAGAATTTTGAAAGATGGCTACAAATGGGCAAAGACGACAGTAAGCCCTAAGCATTTTCTCAGCTCGTCTATACCATCAATTTATAATGAGTTGGTGCTTCCTGATTTGCATCACACATTGCTAAAGAAGACATCAAGAGCTTATGACTGAATCTCTGAACTAATGAGGAATTTTCCCGGGGATGAGTTCAGCATAAGTAGGTATTGGTGGGCATACCACCGCAGCGGCTGCTGCTGCTAGAATTGATCCAAACTCAGTAGCAACGTCAGAGCAGTGTCAGCGAATGACCTACCATTGGTAGCATTAAGAAATGATGTCATGACAGCACACAACATATGGAATGGGAGCCGTTCAAGTCATGAACTCAACTCTAACGTAACAAAGGAACTCAATAGTTCCACGTCGTTGGTAACAACAATCATCGGCGTTGTCCTCTATAAGTGCAGCATGCTTTTGCATGCTCCATGCTGATCCCTACCAAAGCCGCGCGCGACGGCAATTTCCCGCCACATTCAAAGCTTAACTGAAATTGAAGTACTACCTGAATTAAAGGACCTTGTGACCCTAATATCATCAACTTGAAAAGCACCGTCATATGCCACTCACTACTAAAATTCTATCACTGTCTTAGACATGCGTCATCGCGGCGCTCTGCAAATTCTCGGTCCCTCTGTTGTTGTGGCATGGCTGCTGCTGTTCATATAATCCTAATTCGTCGTAAGTTATTGCGACGACCGAGGCCCAACGGTGCTGTTTACCGTGCCCCATTTATCCAATTATAGTATAACCCCTATGAGAGAATTGTCGCCCGGCGCCAGCGTCTGCCCTGCCACCGGCGGTTGCCCCACCAACGGGCCGCTCGCGTCGCTGCCCCTATGTACTGAAGCAGCTAAACTGGCCACTGAGAGCGGCGGTGAGATACTCATCGTGACGTCACCGTGCCGGAACCTCATCCCCTGCCCGCAGACCACAGGCGGCCCGCTGTCTCGTTCACCACATTGCGCGCGTGTGATTGTTAGCACCTGCGCACTGACTGCCAACCCCCCTTCCACCGCCCACTGCCCTGGCCGACGATGGGGGTTGGCAAACGACGACAGGTTTCCCATCAGACCAATTCGCCGGTTGCCACTCGGGGCCCCTAGTATCGAACGATGTACGATGTAGGGGTCCCAAACTTAATTTGGCTTTTGTAGCCCCCAAGGGGCCGGTGGAGGCGATCGCAGCAGGACCAGGATTCGCAACCCGCCACCCCTCGGGTAAATTGCCCCGCCTGCTTGCTCCAATAACCTGATGAGCCTACTGCCAACAATCAAACGGCATTCTTCATAACCAACAGCTGGTAATCCCACTGCTAGTCGTCTAACTTTCGTCCCCCTATTAGTGTCGGACGACCTGACACTAAACGCGTCTGGTGCCGTGCCCCTCCCCCTCGAAGCGCGTCCCGTCGTTCAGTAGTGCCAGGCCTGCCATACCGATTCAAGGACAACGCCGCCTCCAGGCGCGCGTTTTTTTTCGCACCCGCCGCCCAAATTCGGAGGATATTTTTTCGACGCGGCGCACTTTGTGTTTTTTTTTTCTCTCCCGCCGCGATATATACACCTCGCCGTCTCGATCAACGAACAACCCATTATATCCTCTCGGAGTGCCATTACTCCTTCCATGAGCACCGGATTGTTTCGCCTGCGCCCGCTACGCCGGGGGCGCAACTTGAAGCAGCTCACCATCCTGGCGCCCCTCCCCCGCCGGGGCAGCAGTGGCTCCTACCTGGCGCCGTCCCCCATCGTCGAAGCCACGCGCCATGTTGTCCTCGCCATGATGTACTCGTTCACGGGTCAGCTGAAGGGCGAACTCACCTGTCCCAAGGGCACCTACCTCAAGTTCATCCTGCGGGTGGGGCTGGGGTGGCTCGAGGTGGAAACAGTGGCGGCGCCGATCTGCCGCGGCTTCGTGCCAGCGCTGTACGTGCTGATCGTCGTCAACAACGCCGTTGATCCGATCACGCTCGAATGGCTTCAGGCCATGCCTCATCCTGTCGCCGAATCTGCCGACACTTCCGACACTTCCGACACCTTTGCCAACATGTCTGCCAACACCTCGGCTGACATTTCTGCCAACAGCACTGACAACACTGACGCGTGCTCGGTGGCGCTGCTGGAGCTTTTTGACTTTGAAAACGTCTACCCTGAAACGGTGAAGGTCGACAAGTTGGTGAAGGGCGCCGACGGGCTCGAGTTCTGCTTCTGTTTGTCAATGCACCGCCACGATACCCTCTACATCAGCAAGCTGGTCGCCGAATTCGTGGCGTTAGACCACAGCTGGAACCAAGGGGCAGTCATGTTTGGCCTGGCGCTGGGCATCGACGTCTCCGTGAAGCCGGTGCCGCCGTCGTTCCCTCAACTCCCGACGGCCCACGACACCGCCAGCTTATTCCACTACTGCCAGCAGGTGAACCACTACTGGCACGAAGTGCTCAAAATGACGCAATTGAAGCGGTCGCAACAGCTTGCTCACTTTATTGGGTCGGCAATGCAAGTAGTGTGCCGTGAAGGCAAAGTTATGAGTGATGCTGACATTACTCGCACCCTTTTCGGTGATGATGTCGATGTGGTTTTGCGGATGGCGGCGCTGGCGCTGGCTGTCCACACTCCCATCGAGCTGTCGTTTGATCTGGACGATTCCGACACTTACCGCCACTACTCGCTGGGGCTGGACCTGTTGTTCCTGCGACTCGTCAAGTCACAGACGGTGCCCACGACGCCGGTGACTTCCCACAACCAACACCAAGAATTCCCTGATACCCCCAATACCCCTCCCATGGACACTGACGTCAAGCGGGTGGTCACGCCCGAGGCGGCATCGAAATCGCCATTGCAACCTGCTCAAGAAGCAGAAGCTGCGCCAGCACCGGCGGGCCCGCCGCCCGGCCCACCTCGCCGGCAACTGAAGCGAGGCGTCGAACCGCTGGAGTATCTCAAGATCAAGATCCACATCCAGAACGAAGAAGATGACGTGATCGTACTTAAGATCAAGCGTACCAATTTGATTCTGGTGGTGTACTTGAAGAAACTTGTGTCGCACAAGATCTACAAGGATTACTCGTTGATCGACCACTATGCCTTGACCCCAGTTGGCCAAGACCCTCTTGACGACGACGGCTTGCTTGCCTGGCTTAAGACCCAGCAGAAAGCCGTGCTTAACTTGCAGCGTCTTCGCCGCAAAAATGATGCCTCCGATAAATAGTTAACGCTGTATAGTATGGTGATGGGTGTACTCCCTCATCAAATGTGAACAATGACCAAGTAAACATTTGTAGTTCTTTGTAACACCCGACGGAAATGGTCTTACCGATGAGAGTAACGTCAGACTACATCTTTCTTCTGACAAATTACGACCTGACCTAGATCACGAGGAGAGGCAAAAGACTCTCATCTAATTTTGAATGGAGGACAAAGTGACATGATGCGAGAGACAATCGTTGCTCTGCTATGTCTGACACCATTAACGGTGTTCAATTCTTATGAGGTGGTGCAATGCTTCTTTAACCAGTGCATAACGATTGAGCTCACGTAAAATCACTCTAGTCGATCTCAAATTGCTTTAGTTGATTTCAATCACTCCTGCTACCATACAAAAAGAAAGCCGTCGTTGAATCACTCTCAGGTAAAGTATCAACAGAAGCTAACTACGATGACATAACCCTGGATGCTTCAACAACAGTGGACATGACTCAGAAATTGATACTGTAAATCATGATATGCTGATTGGAGAAAACTATCTATCCAAAGTAATACAATGAAAATTGTGGCTTCAATCCTCTGGCATGGTTACTAACTGGTGCTGTGCAGTCGATGGACTTTTGGATCGGTTAGGTTGTGACTAATAGACGCATCTTGACAGCAAGTAGCTCGTTTGGGTTAAGGACAATGTGAAATAAAGATTACCTTATCATCAGGTTGCCATTGCCGCGAGATTACGATGCTTGGCTACCTCGATGATGTCCCCACCAATCCAAATTGGGAGAAGCAATTATCGTGACGGACATTCGGAGTTTGCAACTACAGGGTGGTTTCCTAGTATTCGTAGTCAATATTCTGTGAGTTTTACTTGTGGGATGACAAACCCCCATTCACTATCAAATATCATCAATATTCAACCTACAGATTTTTGACATGGATCTACTGTTGAAGCATTTGGTATTTGTAACTAGGAGAGGGTAGAATGGGAGTGGGCGTTAGTGGGGCGTCATCAGCTGTAGTGGAAGCTTGCAGGGGGTGTCTGGAAGCTGTGGGTGTATCGTTTCCAGCATATTTTGTGCCTAGTGAGAATTGAGAAACTACCCCACACACAGGTAGGGGGGGGCGTTGGGCAATTGTCTGTCACCTGAGGCCGCAGGCCATCCCATCACGTTTCGGTGCCTGCCGTTGCTATTTCCGCCGGAAGTTGCAGGCGAACGTGGTGTCCCACCCCCCGAAATCATGCTCGTCTGAGCGATCGACGCACACACACAGCGTGAGAACACCGCGTGAAGACGTACACCCACAAGCCGCGCAAAGGTGAAACATTATATGAATTCACTCGTATAATCTACACTTCAGTAGTAGCTGTTATAGGGACCCTGGATGGCTGCCGATGCATCGTTGGGTCCGACAATCGAGGCGCCGGGCCTATTGTGATATTGCCGAATCCATCGGCGGGTCTTCCCAATCGGGGAGGGTTATTGCTGTGGCGGCCAGATTAGGTTTGCAGGTGCGATGCATGTATTCTGATGGCAGCGGCGAGGGGATTACCTGTGCGGCAGGTGCTGCCTATTTGCAGACACAGACATGAGGGCCATCGGCTAAAAGTATTAATATCGTGGCGAAGCACCCCCCGGCGGGATATTCCAGTGTGTGTGCCATGAATATCAACCGGCAGTCGTGCTATTGCACCAAGCCGTTGACGCCACTAACGTCCCATTCTAATGATGACAAAGACGACCCCATCGACACCAAAGCCATTGGCATCGAGGTGATCGGCGGCGATACCGATGGCAAGTCGCTGCTGTTCATCAAGCGATTGTCCCACCGGTTTCTGAAGCGAGTTTCAACTGATGAGCATAACCATACCTCCCATCGGCGAACTCATCTGCAGCCGCTGGTTGACTTACGACGTCGCTCCCACCAGGGCACTTCGTACAATTGTCAGCTTGACCGAGGCCGGGAACTGGGTAACATGCTGCAGGTCCAATCCCATGAGCCTCGCCGGCGACTGATGCTCGGGAGGTTTGTGGTCCTGGCGCTGGCTAAGGCTCTGGTACGACTGTCGACCGTTTCTGCCTCCACGTCGGAACCCCGTTCGAAACTGCCTGAATCCCATCATCTGCCCCCGCTGCTGCCGCTGCTGAAAGCGCTGCTGAAAGCACTGCTGCCTCTCTTGGACCGGCACCTGTTTGAGCTGGTGTCCCTGGTATCGCTGAGTGGTCACCAGGAAGATCACACCCCCAATTCCAAAGCAGCCAACGCGACGATGGCCACAATCTCAATTTCGACATTGGGAGAAGGTGACGCACTTGAAAACCTTGTGCCACCACCACGAAACCCACAAAGATTGTTGAAACGTCAATCACTCGCGCCACCAAGGGACGAGTCGTTCTATTTATGGCTGAGGTCGCTGCTTCCTCCACCAGAAACCTCTCTGCCAAAACTACTTCCACCCCAGAAAGCCGTCAATGATAAGAGATTCGCCATTGTCGATGACTCTATCATCATAGCGAATGATCCTACCGCGGGACCGGAAGCTAATGATGATATGGAAGACGAAACTGCGGATGAACTCTCACCGTCGGACTTTCTCAAAATCAAACTTTTTGTCTACGATCGAAGCCCCAGAATCTACCGGATCAAAGTGGCTCGGGAGCGAATTCATGACCGCTACGATCTCCAGATGGCTATATTTATCCGCTTGATGGAAAAACGGCTGCTGTATCTCGAGTTGGATCGCCTTAAACTTTCCATATTCTTCAGAAACCCCAAATTGCCCCAAGTGGTCTTCAAGGACCCCGATGAACCTGACGACCAGTGCGAGTTATTGAAAATATGGCGAGACGAGTTGGTGATGGACTACGTCCGTGTCAAAGAGCGGATAAATGTTCGTGTCACTCAGCAACCGAAATACATGCCGCCCCTTCCCGTGGAAGCATTGGCCCAGGTCGCCTCGACTGCTTGAAATGTGCGGGCGCTGCCAAGTACCGAGATCTCTGTTAAATGTAAATAAACCACTCATATGAATGATTATGTTCTACTACATTTAAGTAGAAAACCACCTGATAGAAAGGTCGAGAGACGTACAGCCATACCCCTATGATTTATCAATTTTGCTTTCTCCAGTGATGGCATCGAATCTGGCTTGATATTGTAGACCCCACGTCATAATACTTCTGTACCTCCGATTACACCTTCTGCGTTTGTTCGTTTGCAGCCCTCTCCCTCCTTCCATTTCGGTACTATATCTTACCGCATTCGCACACATGTCAACTAATCTGGAAGACTACTCTTTCAAAGAAATTAGGAATGGCTTGAACTGTATATGATAGAGTTTGGCTTGTTGGTTTCTCTTTGTTTCATCATAGGGAGCTCAATCCTCGGTAACGTAGACTATTTTCGATATTGCCGACAAGCGTATATTTGATGGAGGCATTTCGGGAGCTCTATCAGTCAATCAATCAGACTATAGCAAGGAAACCATTGAGGCTCGATGCACTACGGGAATGATATTGTAAATCAAGGCCAAGATGGAACACATATCGAGACTGCATCGAAGCAACCATACCCGATATATGTGGACACACTATTTCAGTCTTAGCATGAAATGCGGGTGGCTGACATGATAATCATGCTCCGGAGACCTTAGAAACATAGTTCATGGCATTGTTGCGTGATTACTTCGGGTAATAAGCGAACATGCACGTGACCTGGGATGCTATGTAAACGCGAAAATTTCGAATTTATCTGTTGTATAATATCCGAAGCTCACTAATAAAACACTTGTGTTCTTTTCTAATCAAATCAGTCA